CTCTCGACGCACTTCTACATATACAGATCTGTTCAGCTCGGTAAGAGATGAACTGGCAAGTTTGGAGAGTACATTGGCTTGAGTATTCTGACCCCTTGGGATCAGCTGAACCTCAAAAGTTTTCAGCTCTGAAATGACTGACTTGGTCTTGGCAAGATAAGCTATCATGGAGGGCTCTTTGGCCTCGTAGCTGCCGCTAATCTGATATGCAACTAGCTGAGAGTCTGTTTTCAGGCAGACATGATCGGCTTCTAGGGAGATGCACAATTCTAGGCCGGCGATTGCTGCCTCATATTCGGCTTCGTTGTTCGAGGCCTTAAAAGAAAATTTTAGTGCATACTCAAAGGATTTGCCTTCGGGAGAAGTTATCACTACTCCTGCCCCCGAACCGTTTTCGGTGGAAGATCCATCCGTAAACACGGTCCAGACTTTCTTTTCTTTGTCTAGCGCTTCTTGGTATGAGCATTCGGCCAAGAAATCCGCTAGAGCTTGAGCCTTAATGGCAGCCCTCGGACGGTAGCTGATGCTGAATTCGGTGAGCTCAAAAGCCCACTTGGCTAGCCTACCAGATTTTTCAACCTTGCCGAGAACTTTTTCCAACGGCTGATCAGTTAAGACCACTATCTGATGGCAATCAAAATAGGGCCTCAGCTTCCGAGCAGCTACTACTACCACGAAAGCGACTTTCTCGAGTAGTGGGTAGCGAGTCTCGGCATCCGTCAGTGTATGACTGACAAAGTAGATCGGTTGCTGACTTTTACTTTCTTCCTTCAGCAGTACTGCACTGATGGTGGCTGGGCTAACGGCCACATACAGGTACAAAGTTTCTCCTTCTGCTGGGCTAGCCAGCGTTGTGAGTTGAGCCAGATGCTCCCGAAGCTGTTTAAAGGCGTCTTTTTGCTCTTCCTCCCAAACGAGCTCTTTTGTTTTTGGGAGTTTCAGGGCTTTGAAGAAAGGTAACCCCTTATCCGAAGCTCTGGAAATGAACCTCGAGAGGGCTGCCATTCTTCCGGTGAGCCGCTGAACATCCCGCTTTGTTTTCGGCTCAGGAAGGTCGAGCGCTGCTTTGACTTTGGAGGGATTGGCATCAATCCCCCTTTTGCTGACTATGAACCCAAGGAATTTCCCTGACTTCACGCCGAAGACACACTTCTTCGGATTCAGCTTCATTTGATGCTTTCTTAAGGTGGCGAAAGTTTCAGCCAGGTCCTTAACATGGTCCTCAGGTTTTTTGCTTTTGACGATCGAATCGTCGACATAGACTTCCATGTTTCGGCCCCTTTGATCGGCAAAAACTTGATCCACCAGCCTTTGATAGGTTGCTCCCGCATTTTTCAATCCGAAGGGCATCATTTTGTAATTGTACACCCCAACGTTCGTGACGAATGCTGTCTTTGCTCGATCGTCGGGGTGCATGAAGATCTGATGATACCCCGAGAATGCGTCCATGAAACTAAGCAAGGCATGGCCACTTGTCGAATCGACTAGCTGATCGATCCTCGGCAAGGGATAGAAATCCTTCGGACAAGCCTTATTTAGGTCCGTGAAGTCAACGCACATCCTCCAGGTACCATTGGCCTTCTGAACCATCACCACATTTGCCACCCATTCTGGATATTGGCAAGGTTTGATGAAGCCTGCCTCCAGCAATTTTTTGACCTCGGCTGCGATGTCTCGGTTATTATTAGCGGAGTAATTCCGCTTATTTTTCTTGATTGGTCGACACGTTGGGTCAACATTAAGCTGCCGAGAAATCAAACACATCTCTGTTGTCCCGAAGGAGATGAATAAGTTCACAACGGGTGTTCGGATCAAGGTCCATCCCGATTCTTACACATTTCTCAGCGTCTCTTTCGGCCAACTCAACTGTTTCAGTCTGTTGGTCCATGTCCATTGCTGATGGACTGGACTCTTCATAATCTGGCCTGCTGCCTATGTCAGCAGGTGTCCCAGTCTTTTTGTTCTTCGGCTGGCTCTCTGAGTCTTGCTGTTCAGCTGAAGAGCTAGCCTTTTCCCTTTCGGGCCCTTTACCTCTGGGTACAGATCCTTGGGCCGAAGCACTTAGGCCTTTCGGCTTTTTTTGTGCTTGGCTCTCTTTCTTTTTCTTTCTCCTCCTCATCCTTGTCGTTTGTGCTCCCTCCGAGAGCATATTCCTCCCGAGATAACATTGATCGGAGAGAATTTCCCCTCCGGTTTTTTACTGTTCTTCCGGAGGAAGTCGAGGTCTTGCCGAGAGTCCTTTGCTGACTTCTCGGACTCTTTTTTCTCTCGGTGATCCGCGATGTATTTTTTCAAGTATCCCTTCCAGACCATGTCCTCTATCTGGTCCTTCAGTTGGATACACTCCTCAGTGTTGTGCCCCGGAGACTCGTGGAACTCGCACCACTGATTTTTATTTTTTCGCTGATACCACTCTGGGAGTGGTCTCGGCTTTCGGTAACTCTGCTCCTCCTTCGTCACGCTGTAAATTTTGACGCGTGGAAGAGAGAGCGGAGTGTAGGACTCGTATCTGCCTGTGTATGAGGCAGATTTTTCCTTCTTTGGGTCGCTGGCCGAAGATTGCTCCGAGGCCTTTGACTTTCCCTTTGCCTTATGGCCTTGGCCTTCAGACAAGGGTATTTGTCTTTGTTTCCCTCCCCCAAATTGAGGTTGGGTTTTCGCTTTGTTCCATTCTTCGGCTCGGATGAACTTATCCGAGGCATTCAGAGCTTCCTCCAAGGTCTGCGGGGTATGCATGACCATGAAGTCTAGGAACTTCCCGGGCTGCAGGCCATTCTGCATTGCAAAAACGGCTAGCCCCTGGTCCAGCTGAGAGACGCTGGATGACTCGTTACTGAAACGGGTCAGATAGTCTCGGAGGCTTTCGGTTTCCCCCTGTTGCAGACTCATAAGTTCTGCAGTAGTCTTCTCTCGGCGGTTTGCCGTGGAAAACTTGCTCCTAAACTTGGAGGACAGATCATCCCACCCTGTTATGGAGCCTTGCTTTACTCCCTTGGAGATCCACGCTTGCGCGACCCCCTTGAGAGTGGTTGGGAAATATTTGCACCAAGTCGCTTCGGATCTGGGGCAAAGATGCATATGAGTCTCATACGAGGCCACGTGGTCCTTCGGATCCGAGGTCCCGTCATATGTGATGTGCGACGGTATTTTAACCGTGGGCACGTGCTCTTCCAGTATCCATTGCTCGAATGGCGAACTGGCGGGTAGCATAACGGCCTTGCCCTTGTTCCTGGCCGAAGGGACCGCGCTCCGCCCTCTTAGAGAGGTAGGAGGGGTTTTCGTCCCTGGCTGGGAAGTCTGGGCCTCGGCCGCAGGGAACGAGAGGCGACTGTGCACGCTCGGTTCCTTGCCGCCGAGTCGGTCGAGGACGCTTCGGCGAACAGTCTCAGGTTGTTCTCGGTGAGTAGATTCTGGCCGAGAAGCTGAGCTGCTGCTCTTATGCGTTTCTGGTCGGGAGGATGAGGATCCTTTGAAAAATTGAGGGTTCTTTTTCCTCTCTTTTTCATTTTTCCAGGTATCCTCTTCCCACTCTTCCAGTTCCCGGAAGGAAGGAAGCTTCCCACCATCATGGTCTAGCTTCCTCCGCTGATGCCGGGTATGCGGAGGAGTTCGATCACGAGGTGGTGGCATATTTTGTGCCCTCATTGCCTCCATGAGCACTGCCAGCGCTCTTGCCACCTCTTCCGAGCTGGGCCCCGTCAAAGGGGTCCTCGGCCGAGTATGGGAATGAGGGCGCACAGTCGATGGTTGGCTTTGGGGCACTGAATGTGTCCTATGATCAGACTCACCCCTGCTAGACCGAGAGTGACTCGGCCTATGATGAGAGTTATGAATTACGGGAGAAAGGGAATCCTCCCTGTATGATCCTCCCCCCGAGCTGGCACCCTTGGGAGAGTTCCGGTCCGGCGAGGGTGATGGTGTAGGGGTTTTAGGCTTTTCGCCCGCTCCTTGACGGAGGCCTTTGCTCTTGCGGTTCTTAGCCATTGCTACTAAGATAATTGCAAGATGATCTTGGTTAGAAATTTGGCTTAAAGATTTTTGGAAGTCTTCCCCACAGACGGCGCCAAATTGTTTCAGGTGAAAACAATGGGACCTTGTCGAAGGTCCGATGAAGTGGAGAAGACTAGATTCGATCCAAGTAATGTTGGGCCGAAGGTTTCCTGCACAGTAAACACACGTAAACTAGCCTCGGGGGTGCTGCCGAGGAAGGCCCCTCCGATGCTAAAGTCAGTACAGTGCGTAGAAAGAGTACACTATGCAAGAGAATTAGTTGATTGAGACTTTTTTTGAATGAATGTACAAATGTAATATTGATGGTTTTTATACCTCTGCATACATGGAGAAATTGGGCCTTAGCCCAATTGGCTAACCTTGAGGACTGATCTTTGACTTTAGCACAATTGGAGAGATGAACCTTGACCTTGGGCTTTTAATTGGATCATTTAATGCCTAAGCCCAATTGGACTAAATTGGACCCAAACACGGCTCAATATTTATTTTGATTGGTAGACTAAGCAAATGTATAGTTTCATGCACCTTTCTTCCTAAATGACTTACTAAATCATGTCTACCATGAATTTTACATGATTTGTAATTTGTATCACAACCAAGTCAAAGCATTATTATAGAGGAAGTAGTCAATCCTATTTATTATCTTTCACACCATTGCGACAGTTATCATATTTGCTCTTTTCTCACACAATACTCATTAAAATCAATACTCGTTCATAATAAGATAATTCATCCATTTCTTTTAAGTTGCAACAATTTAACTTCTTACGCTAATTTAATGTCACGCGCCTTTGTGGAACTCCCACCATGGCCGCCCATCGTGCACAATAAGCACAACCTGTGCAAGTGTCACATCTGCACCACTCAAAAGAGCCTCGGGAGTAGCTTTCTCTAGGCACACCCAAGTGTAAAATACGAGTATAATATATGAATATTGAGGGCTATCCCCACAGAAAAGAAAAGGAGGTAAAAGAAAATTGACAAAGAGCTGGTACCAAATAAACCAAACACTACTGAATAATTGTTCCATTTCATGCCAAGAGCTGAAAGGAAAAGAAGAAGAAAAAAAAAAAAAAAAGTTCTAAAAGCTTCTTCAACTCCCTAAAAAGTTTAACATTAACTCTGCTAAACCAACCTACTTATTTTCCTCTCTTAATCTCAAAGTATCCTATTCAACTATAGCAAACAGCATCTGGAACCCATCAAGCAGCCCACGATAATGAAGCAACTGTATCCTCGAACAAATCAGAGCAATCCAATATATGTCTTCTATACACAAACTGAAAACGCTGAATAATTTTAACCACCTGCATAACACAAAGGACACACGATAAATAAAAGAAAATCCAGAAACATGAAGGATTTAGAAGGATGAAGAGAGAATACAAATATATTACCTTATTCTTTCTGACCTAACAATACCAAATATATATGTGCAGTCATTAGACATATAATATAACTCAAACAAACTTCTTTCACTCCCACCACTTTGTACAATTGTTGAAATAGGATGTTGCGACTTCTTTAAATCTAGCATTTTCTTTTTAGGAGATTTTTATTCTAGTATCTGCTTTGATCACGTTGTGAAGGTGAAGGCCTGCAAGGACTTCGTTCTGCAGAACCAGCAGCTGCAGGAATATAAGGTTGTGTAGCCAGATATTCAAGCGCCACAAGGACATCCTTGATGAAGGGTCGGTGTAAGGGCATTTCCTGAAGACAAATGGCAATTATTGCAATGGCTTGATGGAAACATCGCACAGGATACTGACCCCTCAGTGCTGGGTCAGCCAGCTTGTAAAATTTTGTGCGGTCCTTGAAGATACGGAGTGCCTGCAGAGGATAAAGGTATATAGAGATGGGTTACTGTAACTGGATATGGAAATTTTCTACTAATATATCTTTGCTTGATATGAATGTAAACTCTAACATTCAGTTTTTGGCACCACTATTGCTTGAAAATAGCACAGAAAACATACGAAGTATTAGTTATGACTTGTTTCTTAAAGATAGATGAGAAGATGATGCACTGCCTTCGAGGCTTAGGATGTAATAATTGGATTCGACTTTTGGGTAAAAACCCCCGAAAGTTAAAAAACCAAAGCTCATTCTGGGAAAACAAAATGGTTAATGAGATGCAAATTCACAAACAGATTTTCTTTGTTGACATATGAGGAAATAGGCGACAATGTAACTCCTATTAGCCTGAGAGGGGAAGGGAGGAAAAACTAAATAAAATGGCGGATTTCTGGAAATATAACCAACAGATATATCAAATCTTAATGCTCTGCTATATACCATTAAAGGTGTAATATCGAAGTATGATTTATAAGCCAACTTACCCATTCAACTAAGTTTTGCTCTGCGCGACCCCTACTTGGGTCAATTGCTTTGCGTCCAGTGATGATTTCTAATAAAACAACACCAAAGCTATAGATATCAGATCTTATGGTCAGTTTACCACTCATGGCATATTCTGGTGCACAATATCCATAAGTTCCCATCACGCGGGTAGAGACATGGGTCTTGTCACCAACAGGTCCCAACTTGGCCAGCCCAAAGTCAGAGAGTTTGGCATTGAAGTCATTGTCCAGTAGTATATTTGCAGGTTTCAAGTCCCGGAAGATAACTGGTGGATCAGCTCTGCAGTGGAGGTACTCCAAACCCTTTGCTGTATCAATAGCAATTTTTATGCGCGTGTTCCAGTCCAAGGGAACCCAATTAGGCATCAAACCTGAAATATACCCCAATAGAGAAAGAATATCATAAATATACATACAATGTAAAATAGAAAAGCATTTAGGTCTAACCAAATATCTTAATCAGGTAACGAAATGAAGGGGATAGGAAAAGGGTGAGAGCGAAATAGGGAAGAAAATTTAAGCGTGATCCAAAATAAATTTAGAAGATTTATGTAACAGGCAATATATAGAAAAGCATATTTGTCAATTAACATTTCAGATCAAAATAAGTGCAGACCACACAAGATACTTGAAACCGAAGAACTACATAGCTCTTTCTAATTTTCTATGGCTACTTTTCTACCAAGTGAGAAAGATATACAACCTGAGCAAATAAAATTTATATTCTACAAAGAATTCCGAGGAATATAAGTACTAGGAATGGAATATAAGTACATTTCTACCAAGTGCACCACAACACAAATAGAATTTCATGTTTCAAATGCCTATACCGTTCCTTGCACTTGACTGGCTGTTAAATTACCCTAAATTTCGTTATATGTGAAAGAACGACGACTCCTTTGGTACCTCAAGATTGTAGAAATGACAATAATACGAAGCATAGAAAAGAACAGCGTTCTTTCTATATCAAAAGAAGCAAAAATATAAAGAAAGATATGCCTGCAGTCAATTTAGATCCGCTGCAACAAAATAATTTCCACATATACTGTGAGGCTGTAAATACTAGGAATGTTCTTTAATATAGTTTAAAAGACATGATGACTTTTTGTGTTGGTGCATTATTAATTAAAATAATTAATAATTAATTATACACTTCAGTTAATGTACTAGACATTCGAGTTTCCATTATGCTTACTCTCCCAGAATTACAGCCAATGAACCTATGTTGGCTTCATAACTAAAGCATCCCTTACACCCACGTTATTGCTACAGAAAGTATTTGTGGTAAAAATGGCTATATTTGGTGCATTCCTAAATTGAAGTGCTTGGTTAAGTCAGCACTTCATTTAATGTATTATATGGTCGCTTCCAATATGGTCATGGACATGATATAAATTTCATTACTTAAGGTTTCTATCTTACATAAAAAGGGATGCATGCCTACTTTACAGTCGTTGAACCTTAGTCCATTTAGTTAAGGCATCCCATATGCTCACATTCATGCTGCAAAGAAGGTTCCAAGCAATACAAATTCAATAACTTGCTTCATTTAAACCTAGGGGCAAGGCCAGAATCAAATAAACTATATACTAAATTTTGCAAGGGACGATAGACAAACCATATATTCATGTAATTGTTTGTGGACAAGTTTTTTCATGAACTTGACTAGTTGAGAGTCAAACTCAATATATTTCAGCCACCATTGATTATTCTAAGATTACCAATAAACCATCATAATAGCAGAACCTCCTCAAAGTCTCAAACTAACAAAAACAATTTTCCTCCAACATAGAGACCTCTTTAAACTCAATACTCAACAGTACAGTACTATAGTGCTAATATTTCAGTAAATCCCTAGATTCATAGGCTATTTTGATGAGAAAAACTATCCTCAAGCCTCACCCAATCTCAGCTCAATAATAAATAACAAATTTCCCTTTAAAATTTTCAATCACGTAGCAGTTTGTTTTCAGGACTTATTAGGCAAACCTGGGTAGCCCTAGATATCACTTGAATGACTTGCAACACAAACTTTGAACTATTCAAACCAAATCCTTTCTTTTCACTCCAACTGTCCAACATACTTCAATCAGTGGCATCCTATATCCTTTGATGGTGATTCTATAGAAATGACAGGAACCCGGAAGTTGGAAGGAAACACTCCAAAATAATTCTTATGAACATTTTAATTCCAGTGTTCTAGTCAACATACAGCAAGGGATTATTCATTATTATTGGCAAACAACTCTAGTTCGGTAGTTCCTACTTCCTAACAGGGCATATATCAGACTTCAACTCTGCTTCAAAACTACAGATGAATACATCAATACCCATTCACGTGTATTTATGGTAAAATTTGATCTACAAATCACATCAATACTTATAGGGTATATTCTAATCATTCTATCTGATGTCGTGAGCTATATATCCATATTAATAAGCAGACCATAATATAATTCAGCCAGTCATCAGACATCACCTTTTTGGGAAATTGATTTTGACACACCCTTAATTGATATTGGCACACCCCCATGTGAGAAGAGCATAAAAAAAACTTTGCTCTCACATAAGGGTGTGCCAAAATCAACTTATTGTGTGCCAAAATCATTTCCCCCTTTTCGGTGCTGATAAATTTAGCTGATCATAACTGACCGCATCCATTTTTTTTAATTTAATTAGATCCCATCTAATAAAATACTAATATGCATAAATAAAAAGGGAACACAGCCAACCTGACACCATTTTTAATGCTTACAACATGATTAAAAACAAATATGAGCATGATGCACAAATAGTCAAAGTAAGCAGACACCAATACCTAGAAACCTTGAGAATTATAAACAGCATTATTATACTTCTACTTGGCACTAGATTTGAGCAATATACCATAATTTGAAAACAAAGTATGGATTATCTCTAAATCGTAATGTGCTAAAGTGTTACCAAAACAAGATTAAACTCCAGAACGTGATTATAAACTGGGGATCTTCAAATTAGTCATATACACAAGCATAAATCAGAGATCTTTCAGCTTATAGCACATTTAACTGAGTGATCAGAACATACTTGGGTTACCGAACAGGTGGTCCTCCAAGCTACCCTGAGGCATGTACTCATAAACTAAGAGTTTTTCGTCACCATCCGTACAGTAACCTTTCAAGCCCATAAGATTAGGGTGGTGGAGAAGGCTAAGCATGAGAACTTCGATGATAAATTCCTGACTTCCTTGAATTCCTTCATGATTTAATTGTTTAATTGCTACAATCTACCAACAAATGCAGGATCTCACATTAATAGTAGTTTATAAGTACAAAAGATGTCATAATCCAATATAATAGGCCACAATTATATTCTAACATTTAAATTAAAACTATTCGGACGCAAATGTATGACAAGGTAACCACAGAACAAACAAAGTTGCAAAACTTTTAACCACTAACCTCCCCAGTGTCCAACCTTCCCTTGAAAACCTTCCCAAAACCACCTTCACCAATGATGTTAGCACCATTGAACATTCCAGTGGCGATACAGAGCTCACGATACGTAAAGGCTTTCGCCGGACTTCTCAACTGAGCAGCCGCATTAGCAATCCCTAAGTTTGCATGAACATTAACATTCTCTACAAAATGATGCACAATTTCTCTAACAATCAAACACTTTATTCTATGAAAATTCATACTTATATCATTTAAACAATGTCTCACTGTCACAACTCACCATTTTCATGCACCCTATCTTTTCTCTGCCTACTCACTGCATAAATCAACCATTTTCAGCAGTAACATTAAAGAATCAAGCATAAAACAACAATGTACATTAATAAGGTTGCAAATTATACCTGACGTACGAGAAGCAGATCGAGCTCGATCAGTATCCTCGACCTTCACAACCTTTTTCCGAAAAGCAAGGCAAGAAAAAAGCCCCATTTTTCTGCTAAAACACATAGAATTGAAGACACCCAAATCCAAATTAAAAAGAGGGGAAAATCAAGAACCCTAAGTACCCATTTGCACTAATTTTCCAGCAAAGTCAAATTAAACCCAACTCATTTCTTGAAATTTCAAATTAAACATAACCCAATTCTTAAAATTTGAAATTAAACACAGCCATATACTAAAGACATGAAATTAAACAAAACTCATTTCTTAAAACTTGAAATTGAACAAAACCCATTTCTTAAAAACTTCAAATTGAACCTTAGAACTTTCAAACTCAGTAACCCAGTAAGTAAAACTTCAGAGAAAAAATTGAGGACTGAAAGAAATAAAAGACAACCAGAAAATGATGAACAATAAGCAGAAAAAGATAAGCAGAAGAGTACAAAAACCTTTGAAGCAGATCTTAACGAACTCAAGTAGAGTAGAGAGAATTACTGTATTTTAAAATCTGAATTTTTTTTAGTTGCTACACAACAAATCAGCCTATATTTATATTGAAAAGGATGAACTTGGGGTTTTTTACACATTAAATTTCATCAAAACAATTGTTACAAATTCACTAAAAACCAATTTTTAAGAAAGGAAACAAAAATCAGTGTTGAAAATTAATGTGATATTCTGTGATTTCTTGAAGGGAAAAAGCATGATAATTGACCATTAAAAAGGAAATAAATCCCCGAAAAAATTGAAATGCTGATAGTTTCTTAATTTGAAGAGCTGATTCACACTTTAGTAAAAAGTTTCATCAATTTTTTTTATTTTTATTACCTAAGTGATTAGTTGACAATTTGACTGTACAAAATTTTGAGTTTCTAGTACGAGTAGAAATTTAAAAATTAAAATCATCTTTTTATTTTTATAAAATGGATAGATATAAAGAATGTGGGCCTATTGGGTTGAATTACTGCATAAATTGATGATTGTTGCTGGTCGTTCTCCATAATTTTCTCTCTCTTACATTTTCTCACAAAAAAATTGGGTCAATCTTATAATCTTATTTAAAGTTTGCTTTACTTTTAACATTTAAACGTTGCGGTAGGGATTTTGTCCAGTCTCCTCTATTTTTGGGTGGTTAGATTTTGCATCATGCATCAAATCATCCTACTGTAGTAAGTTTTTTTTGGGTCCAATGTTGGAATGAGTTTAGAGCTTGTTCTAATAGACTGAAATCAGCTGAACTGAGCTGAGATGAACTGAATTGAGTTGAGTTGAGCTGAGCTGAACTGAACTGAACTGAAGTGAATTGAACTGAGCTGAACTAAACTGAACTGAAATGAATATTTTATAAGAGAAGAAAATTAGGAGCTGAGCTGAACTGAATTGAACTGAAAATAAACATATGAGAACAAACTCTTAGAGCGTTACAAAAGACTCCAACAATGAACTTATGACTTAATGTACATATGCCCTTGTTGATAGGTTAATATTTCTTTGCTATTGTATTAGCTAGTAATCTGGCTACTAATGCTCAATTTATGTTTAACGGTTAAGTATTCCAACGTAATATGTGTCTTCTATGAAAAAAACTAAATATACTTAATTTGATTCCGATCTGTCCACTAGCTAAGCTAGTTTGTTACGAAGTACTACCTCCGTTAAATGTTATGTGCAACTTTGAAATATTTTATATCTCACAAATAATACCCCAAAGTTGCGCATAACATTTAACTGAGGTAGTATTACATTTGGCAATACTAGTAGATTTGATATATATATACCGCTATCAAGTTGCTTGTTTGGAAATAGAATCCAATGTACGTTATTAAAGTATAAATTTATATTGTATATAACTTGATCAAACTCATAATTGAACTAACCATCCTTATTCAGTTTAACCAGCAAACAAATTATCCATTAGTATAAATATTTAGATAATCAATGTAATGAATTCACGAGCTTAATTAGTATAAGCCTCATAGAATCCGACTTACATTAAGTTTATGAATTTGTTACGTGCAATGTTAGATTGGTTTCTATTATTGCAGCAAATAGAAAGATAAAAATAATTGTAGAAAAACAAAGGGAGTTTATGTTTATAATCAACTATTTATTTAAAAGATACAGAAAAATAAAGATTAGGAGATTTATGATTAGCTTTTTTGTATAAAATGTAATAAGCTATTACTGGACAATAAGCTATTACTGGACAATAAGCTATTACTGGACATATACTCTGTATCCTATGAGAGTTTGCGCAATCAGGTTCACGGTGAACCGTAAATCTAAATGTATTGTTTGCTCATTATAATGATTATTGCTCATTTAATCATCAAATGGTCGAAAAAAAATTTGATCTCTTGGTTGCACTATACATGTGGGTGTATGTAATTACTTTCAGTATTCTATATAGGTGAGATTGTGTAATACTGTAATGTATTGTCTCCTTTTCTTATACCTTGCACCCAAATTGAGAACTGAGGTAAATGATGTTTGCACCATTATAGTTAATTTATTAACACAGCAGAGAAAACAACCCCTAATAAATCAATTAATTATTGTACGAAAGTTAAAAAAATGTGTCAATTTATAGGAGCCTAGGAGGTGTATATACTAGTATATACCATGTAATATAATTTGGTACAGATCCATGTGACGTAGAACTAATAAATATTTCATAGACTGACACATTATTTAAAAATTACAATATTAAAGTAAGTAGTAATTCATAGGCTTTAGATGTCTGATGAAATATAATTAGTAAACAATTAAGTCAATAGATTAAAGTCCACTTAATTTGGAAATCTAGTTTAAAGGTTCGTCATGTGATTGTTAAAGTTGGATTTGGTAGCTTTGTACAGATTATGTATAATTTAATACTTATTCTACTTAAATATTAGTAATATTTTGATTTTTACATAATTCACTGTATAATTGTAATTTTTAAATGTTAGTATCAATTAAAAATATGTATTAAAACGGATCTAACAATATTTCATGCCATTATAATAAGTTTCCTTAATATAATTCGTCAATCATAATCAAATACTGCAATAAAATATAACGAAAGAAGTAGGGTGTTATATTGGTTGTTAAGTGTAAATTCCTTCAAAATCTTTTTTTTTTCCTTGTTAAAAAGGGTATTTTTGGTTTAATTAATATAGATTACATTTAATTTTGTTGGTGATATTTAGAGCAAGTTTCTCTTTTTATACTGAATTTTGATCTATGTTAAAGATAATAATAAAGTTAATTAGGTAACCATTTAAGTATTAACTTGGAAAAAAAAATAGCTTAGTTGTTTTTTCTTTGTTTCTTCTTCTATCTTTTTGTTTGTAATGTTCCACAATAAAATAATTAAATAAATAAAAAAAGCTTGATAGAAATGATGATGGATAAATTGTCAAGAAATTGAAATTTGTATCAATTATAAAAATAAATAAATAAAAAGACAAAAGAACGTACAAGACTACAAGTAGTGGAGATTGCGAGATGACAGTTTAACATTTACAAGGCTGAGATAAAGACTGAAAACCTACTTAATCTAATCTTATCCATCATTTTATTAAGACAAAAGCGTATTATTTGAGTTGATATGAAATGTCTCTCTTTATTCAAACAAAAAGGCATAACTAATTAACGACTTATTAGTTGTACTTTATTGGCTTAATTTATGATTACTTCCAAGATATTTTGCTGATTTTTATTTTATTTTATACTTGTACTTGTTACATATGTTATTATAAAAATAAAAAATAAAATAAAAAAATCATAACACTAATTGTACTAGAATATTGACTAATTTGTTATTTTAGCAACACTTTTTAAAGTGTATACTGTATAGTTGATTGATTTTATACTAAAGGTAACGTTTGTCACTCAATAAATTATACGAAGTAATAAGATTTGGGTTAAATACTTCGATAAATTTATGTATGTTACTCCCTATGAAATACTATATTCAATTCATTTTTATTTTTCACTAATATAAAAAATAGTTTAAGTGTAAGCAAACCTCAATCACATACTTTAAAAAAAAACATCGTAACAAGTTATAAACACCTGACATGATAACCTCTATAATAGCTAACCACTTATGCCAAATATGATTAATGTTCAATCAATGCAATTATAGAATTATTAGAATAATCTAATATCACTACTTCAGTCCGGCCTTTAGCTTGATAGTTGATACGTTGGCATTTCGATATCACTCATATTATTTTAAACATATATATGCCGTATATAGGTCATAAAATGTTATAAAATCATGTAATCAAGTTGATATTATACCTAAAAATGTGGTTACATTTTGCATGCATATAAAAGTAGGTTGCAATAATACAAGTGATTTGAGCCTTTAATAAAATTGCCATAACCAAGCATTTCAAGTCAATTAAGGCTCAACTTTAGTATCTCGTCCTCATTTATAATTGTATCATTAATATTTCCGGCCTCGTACAGTCATAACACATGTTCACACTTGTGGTTATTGAATGAGAACCTAGAAATGTTATACGACTTTGAATTAATTTAAGTATGTGAGAGCAATATATCCCACCAACAATCCTTATTGTTAAACTGAGTTTAGATGATTTTAAGGTACAGTCACCTGTACCTAGTAAGGTACAGGCAAAAAACGCGAAACGGACATGTAGCAGTTTTTTTAATGATGTTTTGTAAAGAACATATAACTGTTTTGTAAAGAATATCCAATTTTATGTGTTTTTTTATACATCTAAAGAACATCCCTAATATTTATAAAGAACATGAAAATATTATGTAATGAACATGATTTATGTAAATTCACCATAATTTAAAAAAAAAATAAAAAAATCAAAGAACATTTCACAATAAGTAATTAACATTATATCACAAATAAAAGTACATTACACTGACAATTAAAGAACATTAACATATATTCTTTTCACTCTTTTTTAATATAAATATGTTCTTTTTACTTTAGATATGTGTTCATTACTTTTTAATAGTATGTTCTTTTCATTACAACAGTATGTTCTTTACATGTGTGTAATATGTTCTTTTCGCGAAACGGCTTTACGATGCAAGGTACCAACGCCTGTAGGAACCATACACAGTTTAGATGGGTTTGTTGACAATAATTGACGGTAACAATATATACTTTTATATAGAAAAATATGAAAAACCTCAACAACGAAAGGACAAGTAGACTAAGATGATATTATGACACTTTTGGATCAATCATCAAATTAAAGGATGAAAAAAGCTAACCATGTAGCGTACAAGCCGGATGTAACAATGTTAAAACAATTGATGCAAACAAGAGGACTCATCGATTTATAATCGTAAAATGCTTATATACAGTAGTAGTATATCAATATAAATACTAGTATAATATTTTGTGAATTTCTTTATCCTATAAAACTAAGTATAATTTACATATTCGATCAAATGTTTTTCTTCCATATTTTATACAGTATATCAAAGTGCAAGTCAATGAAAAGTCAAAACAAAAGAAATAAAAAAAGGGGGGAAAAAGGTGTACATATTAGTTAGAGTCTTAGGCTCTTAGGTTGAGACAGAATTTGTATTTGTGCTGCATATTTCCAACACAATCTGATAATTATTCCTTAAATCTATAATAAATAATTAAATAACAATAGTTGGACTTTGATTATGCTTTATGCACATCCAAACAAAGTTGATTATCTGGAACTTGGACCACTTATCCATTCGAAATTTCTAATAATAGCTTCTAGCTTAGAATTATTGTACTACGAGTATTTTTTTTTTCTTAGTTTCCTTTTTTTTTTGTATATTTTATTTATTTATTTATATATAAATGATGTATTGTACTTATTATTATTATTATTATTATTATTATTATTATTATTATTATCTATACTAATCTATTAAAAGGCGTTTCTAAGAACGTCCACGTGTCATGTAAACTCTCTTTATCACGCCACGTCCCCTACTCAACTATTCATTACGCCACGTGACTCTCCTTCCATTTGTTTTTCATTCCATGTCATGCATTCATCATAATAAAAAAATAAATTGTCCATAAGAATTGAACCCACAACCTCTAATTCTAGAATTTAGTATCTTACCACCAAACTATGAGGTTTTTTATGCAATTGAATACAAAATATTAATATGTAGCAAAAAACAATATGAACAACAAATTTTATTACAAGAAAATTAAATTATACATTATAACATATATTAATGTTCAATTCCATGTAATAATCCGGGGCATCGCCCAGGCCCAAAATCTAGTTTTTTTTTTTTTAAAAAAGCGAGCTAATGTAAGTACTTTATTTGCTTTAAATTTAATTTAAGTAAGCAAAGATGCACTACAAATGATTTTGTAGCTGATTTGACCGTTAATTGGTGAATAATTTGAGTAATTAATTAATTTATTTGATTGATTAACTGAGATAATGATGATTAAGATCAAAGTCCAACTATTAGTCTATTATTATCAAAGATCAAAGTCCCCAAATAAAGTTGATTGTCTGGGACATATGGTTTGAACTTTGAGCTGAACCTCCATTAAACAGGCCCAACCAAAGTAATTACTTCGTTTAAAATGGTCCAATGGTTGACTCTTCTCACCAAATCCAAGTCCACTTATTACATTGTTGAAATACTTGGTATGTTATTAATTTTAGTTCAGATGAAATCAAATTGGGATAATGAGAATTATGATATATATGGACTGTGCTTTCAATAAGTGGGTTTAATACATAATTCGTACTCTCCTCGTTTCTTAATTATATGCCTACTTATCTCTATTATGTGAATAACAAATGACAAAAATAAACATATAATTAAGGGATGGAGGGACTAATAATTTATTTGTTACGTTGTATGTTGATTTTGATAAGCAGGTATGAGTTAGTTTAATAAGAATCTATAGCCCCTTGTTAGGATATCATTGCAAATTTGCAACTAATGTTCCATAACCGTAAAATAATTGGTATGGTAACGGTTGGTATACATTCGATCATTTGATTATTAGGGCTAAACATTAATATTAATAAGTTTTTATGAAGTACGGTGCGTAATAAGTAAGCTATAAAGTTACTACTTACATGGCACATCGTATTTATTACTCTGCATATTATTGATTCCTTAAAAAACAGAATACGAGCTAGTTAACCGTTATATATCCCTAACTAGTACGTATATCTTCAAATCATAATATACATATAGTTCTACTCCTTTAGTTTCAGAATAAATGTTCCACTTTGACTAGCATATCTGTTAATGGAGGACATTGACCAATAATAAATTATATTATCAATAAACATAAATTATACTTTAATTTGTAAAAAGTTGATATTCTAACAGGTTCCCACACGACTATGGGCCCGTACACATTTACTGAATTGAATTGAACTGAACTGATTGGAGCTGAACAGAACTGAACCGAAGTGAGCTGAAATAAATATTTTATGAGAGAGGAAAATTAGGAGCTGAAATGAACTGATTAGAGCTGAACTATTAGAGCTTAGAGTTGAACTGAACTAATTAGAGCTGAACTGAAATGAATAGAAGTGAAATTAGGTAAATGTGAACAGGCCATAGATTTAGCTTTATGTATAAATAAAACACCTACAAAAATTAAAGTGGTGTTTATTATTAGTGCAAAATTCAAAATAGTATTTTTTTTTAATAAAAAAACAAGATCAGATCAGATCGAGGGAGTATCAAAAGAGGCCAGGATAGCACTTGTCAGGAGTGATATCTCATTTGATTCCATAAATCAAAAATGATTTTGAAATGAGTTTTCTAAAACCACCTTATACTATCTATACATAACATACGCCACTAATTAACTCTCACATCAAAATCTTAAGCTAATTAATAATAATCCTCAAACAATAAACACTAATATTATTATAGAAAATGGCAAGAGAAATGGTAGAACAACTCGAATTCGAAAGACAAATCATCTCCTACATCGTTGAAAACATTAACAATCTCTCTGAAGGGTCAAAAAATAACGAGCACCGCATGACGAAACATGTCTATACGGACCCCACAAATCACAATGTATTTTTTCAAAAATTCTAGATGCTTTATTGTCACTCAAAGGAAAACTATCTCTAGGATGCTTAGCACGCATACATACTTCACATCCTTTATTTAAACAAGCTTTATTACTAACTGTGGGAAGCAACTTAACTACCCTCTCAGAAGGATGACCCATACGACGATGCCACAACTCCAACTCTGAATTTGCAGCGCTCACATGATGCACCGAATCCATTTTGCTAAAGTAATACAATCCGTCTCTCCTAGTCCCCGTTCCAATCAGCTCCTTCGTGTGGTCCTGTATAGCACAAATATAAGGGTTAAATTGGACAGTACAATTAAGGTCATCGTTGAGTTGCGAAACAGAAATCAAGTTACAACTCAAATTAGGGACATAGAGTACTCCGGTGAGAGTAATCTTGTCCGATAAACAAACAGAGCCAATAAGAGACGACGACACCGTGTCTCCATTGGGCAAACCAACCGGACACTCGAAGCTTTTTGTGTCAAAAAGCCAATATTTTTCTCCAGTTACGTGATGTGTAGCTCCTGTATCAATAATCCAAGAGGTGTCATCAAACTTACCACTCAAACGATTATCAGAAATTGTAGCATTACCCATCAATCCCGTAATTGCCTTCCATTGTTCACTAGAGAATAAACGACCCGAAGCAAAAGAACTTGTATCCTCCGACTTCGAGCCACCACCCGAAACTGCATTAGCCTTCACCGGAGCACCCCGACCACGACTAGCTGCGGGTGGCCCCCCCTGGCTGCCAGCAGCACCCTCCGGCCAGCCATGTTTGTCATAACAGCGGTTTTCTTCATGGCCTCGTTTTTTACAGTAAGCACAAATTTTATCGGACCAACACTTCACGGTTTCATGACCCACTTTCTTACACTTGTCACACACTGGCAGCTGCCTGTCAGAACCACCGGCGCCACCTGCACGACCCCTCCCTGCAGCAGTTCGTACAGCGAACCCGAGAGCAGGAGCAGGATCCTCCTTTGTACGAGAAATCCCTCTAACATTCTCCTCCTGTGAAACCTGTTGGTATGCTCTGTTCAAAGAGGGCAAGGGATCTTGCAAGAGCAATGTAGAACGCAAAGCAGCATAATAATCAGAGTACAAACCGAGCAAAAATTGTTGGAGACGATCCCCATCACGCCGCTGTGCGTGTTGCTTCCCAACATTACAAGAGCACTTCCCACATTTACAAGAAATTAGGGGTTCCAATCTATCAAGTTCATCCCACAAAACCGCTAATTTACTATAATAAACCGCAACTGTCATGTTTTTCAATTGTTCACATCTATTAATTTCAAATTTAATCTGTTGAATTCTAGGGCCATTAACGAGACAAAAACGCTCATGTAAATCATCCCACAATTTCTTAGCATTATCATAATGTGAAAGCATAGATTTTACCTCGGGATCGATTGTGTTCATGAGCCAAGAAACTAACATACATTGAATTGTTACCCAATCATCCTTCGTACATGGCGGCTCGAAGGTGGTGATACTACCATCAAGGAAACCAAATTTCCGGCGAGAGCAAAGAGCAAGTCGCACGGCATGAGACCAATCGTGAAAATTGTCCAATTTTAGACGTTGTGAGGTGATGTAATCCCCGGGCCGATCTTGCGGTCCAAGGTAGAAAGGGGAGTTTGATTCAATTTTTGTAGGTGCCGGTGGAGGAGATGTGTCATCCCCGACGGCCATTATTGGTGTTTACAGAGAGAAAAAAAATCAAGGCTCCGATACCATGTAGAATTGTATAAACTTACGGCTTGACCTTTCATTAATTGGAGCAAAACATATATATACAATGCTAATTCCTAGAGATACCTTAATTAGGTTACTAGAAATTAGGAAACAATATGAAAGATAATACCAAATATTCCACAAAATATATCCCACAAAATATATCCTCAATACGATGCTTGTCGTGTCGCGACTCTCTCTTCGAATTTCAATGAAGCGGCCAACTCTAACGTTGTTTGGAATCGTTTTCTGCCGTCCGATTATCGTGAAATGATCTTACGGTCATCCAACATTGATGATGTTCATATGTTGGATACTCTCTCGAAGAAGGAACTCTTTATGTATCTCGCTGATAATTCTCTTCTCATCGACGAAGGATTGATGGTAATTTAATTAATTTTTTTTTTTTTTTTTTTTTTTTTTTTTTTTTTTTGTCGTTTTAATTTGGATTTTGATTTCTGATTTCTTTTTATCATTGAATTATTTAATTTTTTTTTTTTGCAAATCCTTTCTTTTAAAAATAATTGTTACATTTTGATGTAGAAATAGGTAGAAATAATGATGATTTGGCTTTCAAATGAAAAGAAGCAATTAAACTTGATAATTTTAAGCATAGGAATAAATGTTAATGCTGGTGGCTTACATAATTTAAAATATGGTACCTTAGGACGGTACAAAATTGTTCATATATTACAATTTATTACATAAGATTTCCGTGAGAAAAATAAAATAAAAATTTACATCTAGGTAGATCTAGTGAAGGGTTTATTTGTCACATGTTCCACCATTTCTAAAACTAGTATAGGGCTTATTTGTCACATGTTCCACCGTTTTAAAAACAAAAAATATAAGATAAATGTGATGTATGTACATTGAGTTTTCAATTAAATAATCTCTTACCAATTTAATAATCCTAAGTGTGAATCTAGTTATATAAGCACTCGATCTATGCATGGCTACATACTACATTAATATTTATGATGCAATATTTTTCTTTCCTACATGAGAATCATCTATCATTGTTAAATTTGATAGAAAAATTCAATACATTTTTATTTGTTGTAACTAACCAAAAATCCAAACTCTTGATTAGAGCTTTTCACTGGAAAAATCAACCGGCAAAAAGTGTTACACACTAGCTGCAAGGAAGCTAGACATAACATGGGGTGATACACCAACTTACTGGCAATGGCTTGCCCATTTGGAGCCTCAATCGAGGTTCGTTTCACTTGTATTCGATCTCTTTAATTTTAATTTAACGTTGATTGTTAATAATGAAACAACAACTTTATTCAATTGTATAACCCATAATAATGAAAAAGTTGTTGATTTATTTACGAAAATACCCATATGAGAAACAAATTTTGTTTATCAATATGAAAAACAGGAAATTTCCTGTTAATATTACATCATTTCACTAATAATTATGGTTGATCATGCTATTTCCTTATCTAATTAAATCATCAACAGGTTTGCTGAAGTAGCAAGGCTTGAATATGTATGGTGGTTAGAAATTAATGCGAGAATCACAACATCAATGTTATCTCCAAACACAAGGTATGGTGCATACCTTGTGTTCGACGTTACGAGTAACGTTTGGGAATTCTACGATCTTCCCATTGATGTCGCGGTTGAAACTTCTGGAGGCGAAGAAGTGGTGACCGGGAGGGTCTACTTAGACCCACGTCGTGCAGGTATATTTGACCGCGAGTATGATCTAGTTGCATCATTCGACGATGAAGGGCCAGAAGAGAATGTTAAGCTTCCAAACAAGAGGAAAGATGGGTGGCTTGAAGTCGAAATTGGTGAGTTTTTTACTAGAGAAGAAGATGAACGTGTGACGTTTTCGCTAATGGAGGTTAAGGCTGGGATTGCTAAAGGTGGTTTAGTTGTTGAAGGAATTGAGATTAGGCCAATAATCGAGTAATGGTTTATGTTAATCGAAAATAATGTACCAATGAACAGATGATACATTGGTTTCAATAATAATAATAATAATAATAATTCTGATAAACAATTTGCAAGTTGATTAGTTTTTAATTACATTTTGGTATTGTGCTTATATTACTTATATAGTTATGTATAATGCTCTCATGAAAAGTATAGAGGAACAAACATATCACATCAAGATCAAGCCAAAGTGAATTCTAGCTAATAAATTGACAACTAACAATACATATTAACTGTGATAATGGTTTGAACTTTGATCTTAACCTCCACTGAACAGGTCCAACCTAAGTAATTAGTTGATTACTTCGTTTATGGAGTCAAAATGGTCCAGTGGTTGACCCTTCTCACCAAATCATGGGAATTACTAACTACTACTCCCTCTGTCCCCGATTGATATAGTCACTTTTGAAGAAAAATCACGGGAATTAAGGAGAATTAAAGAAAGTACATTGAAAAAGTAAATTTACATTAGGTATGCAAAAAAGTAGAGAGAGAAAGTAATTAAGGTACATGGGAAAGTAAATTTACATTGGAAGGTTAAATTTGCACAAATATTTTTGCAAATGTTAGAGAATTTTTGTAAAAAAATAATACTCCGTATTAATGGTACTTGAAAAAAATCAAATGTGACTAACATTTTGGGTGCCCAAAAATGGCATAAGTGAATATCAATTGGGGACGGAGGGGGTAGTTATTAAGTACTAATTACTAATTATTAAGTATTAATTAATCAGTACTAGCTATTAATTATTAATTATTAATGACTAATTATTTATTACTAATTACTACTTATTACTCCCTCATTCCCCAAAACTTTGACCCTTTTGGTTTGATTTCGCGGTTATTAAGAAACTTAAATAAAAATAAATAAAAACATATTGGAAAGATAAATTTACATGGGGTTTGTAAAAAAGTAGAGAGATAAAGTATAAAAACATATAAAAAAAACAAAATTTTATATGGGGAAACTAATTTTATACAAATATTGTTGTAAATTGCTGGTGGGTATTTTAATGCAAATGGATCGATCATTTTGGGACTAAAATTAGGCCAAAAGGGTCGAAGTTTTGGGGACGGAGGGAGTAACTACTAATTATTAATTACCTATTACTGATTATTAATTGTTACTTATAAATCATTAATTATAAATTATAAATTATTAAATAATAATAAAGAAGTAATTTGTTTAATAAAAAAACAAAACCAAAAAGGTAATAAGATTAGCTTTTGTTTTTGGCAGAAAAGTCAATATTTCAGCTAGCTTAAAAAGCCATTTACCAAACATATATTTTGGCGGTTTCACCAAAAGAGAAAGCTTAAAGTCAAAAGCCAATAAAAAAGCTAGTCAAAAGCCATTTACCAAACAAGGCCAACATGCAAAATACTCCGTGGTAAATAAGTAGGTTTAATAGTGTATTTGTTATGTCATATGTTAATTTTTTAAAAGCAGATATGAGTTAGTTTAATATAAGTGTCTATAGCCACTTGTTAGATTATTATTCATAACATATAGCTTAATCTATATGATATAATTGCAACTAATGTTAGAGAGATACGTAAAATACTCTGTGATATATATTCATCCATAAAATAATTGATATGGTAAAGATTGGTATATATTGGTCAAGTATTCAAAATGACCGAGTTTAACTGTTACCTTTATTAGGGTTTACAACAAAAAAACCTAACTCTAAGTATTTATGTGTTTAGATCATAACGTATCTATATACATTTTAGAAGTATGTAATAAGTAAGCTATAAAGCTTCCTAAACTACATGACAAATTGTATTTATATTTTGTATATATATTGATTCCTTAAAAACTGGATACGAGTTAGGTTAACCGTAATCCCCAAACTAGTACATATGTTTTCGAATCATAATACACATAGTTCTACACTTCTAATCCTCCCTTTTTAAATAAATGCTCCACTTTAATTAACACATTTGCATATGCTTTCGTAAATATATAAATTATACACCGTAAAGATTTATGATATTGTAACAAGTACTCACATGACTATTTTTATGTATAAATAAAATACCAACAGCTGACAGTTAAAGTAGAGTTTGTAACTACTGTAAAATTCAAAATAGAGCATTTATTTTTAAAACAGACTGGATTAAATGGGTTGGCACTTGGCAAGAGTGATATCTCATCCAATCTCATCCAAATCAATAGAATCAAAATAAATCAAAAAGATTTTATTATTACCATTTATTAGGGTTCAAAACAAATACTTACACCCTAAGTTTACTTTGCCACCTTATACTCTCTATATAACATACACCACTAATAAACTCTCACACCAAATTCCTAAGCTAATAACAATCCTTAAAACAAATTAAACACTAATATCATTGAAAATGGCAAGAGAAATCATCGTTAGAAAAACTACTCGTATTAACAACCTTCCGGATGAATCCATTGCAACCGTGATTTCATTCACCACCCCTCGTGATGCTTGCCGCGTCGCGACGCTCTCTACGGCCTTCAGCGTCGTTGCTGACTCCAACATTGTCTGGAATCGCTTTCTGCCCTCCGATTATCGTGAAATTATCTTACGGGCATCCAACGTTGATCATCATGCTCTTCTGTTGGATAATGTCCCCAAGAAGGACCTCTTTATGTATCTTGCTGATAATCCTCTTCTCATTGACCATGGATTGATGGTAATTTTATTTTTTCGTCATTTGAAATTAATTTGAGTTTTGTTATTTTTTTACGTTGAATTTATTGAACAGGTTTTATAAATAATCCTTTCGTTTTAAAATAATTGATTCATTTTACTGTGTTGACGTAGAAATGATGATTTTGCTTTCATGAATTGACATGAAAAAAAATTATAAAAAAAAAAAACCAATTGGCCATGATACCTACATACTCTTTAATTAAGATAGACAATCCGTAATAATTTTAATCACAATCGTATGTTCAAATTAAATCGTATGCTCAACTTTGACGGTAGTTTTGAGTTTTGTATGGAAAAAAAAACTATTATCATATAATTTTTAGTGGCTTTTAATTATATTTTAGTGGTCAAATTATTGCATAGACAAGTATGTTAATATTGGTGGCTTACGTAATTCAAAGCACGGTATCCTAGAATTGTACAAAATACTATGTATATTATACTTTATTATATATGTTCCCGTTGAAAAATAAAATAAAATTTACATTTAGGTAGATCTAGTAAATGGCTTATATATATGTCACATGTTCCACCATTATTTCTAACAAAAAGAAAAATAAAATAAAAAATATACGAAGTGTAAGATGAATATGACGTTTATTGTGTTAAATCAATTATGCTCTTACGAATTTAATAATCCTAACTCCGCATCTAGTTATATATGCACTCAATGTATGAATCCCAATTTTATTTCCTCAATAATTGTGAAAGGATTATTTAGATTTCCGGCCTATTATCTGTAAGAAATTCCTAATAACTAAGAATCAGGTTTGAGATTCCTACTACTCGTATTTTTTACGGCATGTTGCATGTATTGAGAAACAAAGAAAGCATAAGACTTAATTAAAAGATACTTCGTATATATGACGCATTCTTTTGCACTGATGTCACACCAATAGTAGCTAAAAAGTTCATCGTTGCTTGTTAAATTTAATTGTTTGATGCATTATTTTTGTTGCTTGATTGACGAATGTAACAACCAAAAATCTGAACTCTTGATCATCAGACCGTTTCGCTGGAAAAATCAACTGGAAAAAAGTGTTGCACACTTTCTGCAAGGAAGCTACGCATATCATGGGCTGATTCAACAACTTACTGGCAATGGTGGCTAGCCGAGGATTTCTTGCCTAGATCGAGGTTCAATTCAATTCATTTGTAATTCCATCTCTTTAACGTTAGTGATCATGTTTGCCTTATTTTATGTTGTCAACAGGTTTGCTGAAGTAGCAAGGCTTCTATATGTTTGTTGGTTTGAAATAAAAGGGGAAATCAAAACATCGATGCTGTCACCAAACACCAAGTATGGTGCATACCTTGTGTTCCATGTTAGTAGCAGCGCATGGAATTTCTATGATTATCCCGTGGACGCTGTTATCGAAACTTCCGGAGGCCAAGTGGTGACCGGGAGGGTCTATTTAGACCCTCGTCGTGGAGGTATAGTCGACGAGGGTTATGAATTAGTTCCATTAGCTGGTGCTGAGGACCCAGAAGAGGGTGTTAACCTTCCGAAGCTGAGGGTTGATGAGTGGATTGAGGTTGAAATTGGGGAGTTTTTTACTGGGGATAAAGATGAACTTGTCACGTTTTCGCTAATGGAGATTTTAACTGGGGCTTTGAAAGGTGGTTTAGTTATTGAAGGAATTGAGATTAGGCCAGTGATTGAGTAATGGTTTTGAAATCCAAATTAATGTACCAATGAACAGATGATGCATTGGTTTCAATAATAATTCTGATAAACAATATGTAACTTGATTAGTTTTTAATTACTTTTTGCCTTTTTGGTATTGTGCTTTTAATCTTTTATTGCTTATATATATTGTTCTTAAGAAATATATAGAGGAACAAATAAATGGCATGCATAGGAACAAATTAAACCAAATAACCTCAATATTAATTTTATTCAGATCAAGACCAAGCTAGCTAGATTAAATTCTAGCTAATAATGTGCGTTAAAATCACGTGTTGAGTTTGAATATTTCTTGTATTAGTATTTAGCACACAAATAGTACAGGGAAAAACGAAACATGTATATATATACCAACTTATAATGTTGAAAGTTTGAACAAGAATGATGGATTAAATAATCAATGTTGTCATCGTGTTAAACATACTTAAATTAGACAAGCTAGTCTTTGATTACACTTTACACATTACAGAGTGAGTTTGAGAGTAAAGAAAATTATGCCTCTATCAATTTCTATTGCACCTGAGGATGAAGTTCTGATGAGATTTCATGCATTATTTCATCATTTAAACAAAGTATTAGAGAAAAATAAAAATAAAAAAGCAATCAGCTTTCTGATAGTTTCTAACTACAACAGCCAGCTGAATTAAGCTTCTTAATTATTAATACAAGAAATTACAATATGATTCTGTCTTAAAAGTCTATTTTTGTACATTCGATTGACATTTGAGTGGATGTCCACAACATAATCAAGCATAAAACTTCGTTCAAAAAAAAAAAAAAAAAAAAAAAAATTCAAGCATAAAACTGACCAAATATCTAGTACATATTTATGAAAAAATATACGACACTTGTATTATGAAATGATTTGTATGAAGAATATAACAAGCTAATTAATTTAATATTCTCATCAAATGGGAGTAAAAAAAAAAAAAAATAGAGAACAGAACAATTTTATTGTGTGTTTAAGCTAGCTAGCTCATTACTACTAGTTCTTTCTGTAATTGATTCGTGGAAAGGCACTTATAACTCTGTAGTCTTGAAATGAATGAAAAGATCATGTCTATATTCCTGTGCATTATTACTTTTATGTAATTTAAGTCAATTTGATGGAATAATGATCTTGCTAAACCTTCACAAGAGTTATATAAAGTCTCAAACTTTGTGGGATCAGAATATAATTGAAATGGCAGGGCATAGCAGTATGATGAATTTACTATTAATGGTTATAATACTGGCAACTATGTCTTTCACCACCAAAGCCCAACCTGCGCTCGCGCCAGCCTCATCATTGCCACCTGCTAAGGTGTTTAGTCTGGCATTGTTTTTTCTAAACATTTCCCAACCAGATTTACAACCAACTCCAAACACCGTGCCCTCACCACCATCTCCAACCATGGAACCACCTACAAATGATTCTGTTCCTCCACCACTAGGGGGAAACACTCCGCCATCAGTTCCGATCATCAATCCTACTTTATCACCACCTCCGCCCATGGAACCACCTGAAGATGATTTTCCTCCTCCATTAGGGGGGACCACTCCGCCATCAGTTCCTATGATCAATCCTACTCCACCACCTTCACAACCAAACAAAATACCACCCACGGATGGTGATCTGGCGGTCAATCCTCCACCAGATCAACCACCATCACCACCAGTTAACAAGGATACTACACCAATGCCACCATCAAAAGAGTAAATTTGTGCAGCCAGTTTTCTACTGATGTCCAGTTGTCCACTGTTCAATTTCTTTACCGGTGCTCTCAGGTCTCACCTTATCAGACCTATCATCTTCAGTATGTACTACTCATAGTATGTTTTCTGTGAATATTGTTAGCTTTGATGACCTGGTTTAATCAATTTCTTATTTTACAACACCCTGCTATTCATTTTTCTTCTGTTTCTAATTTTTCCAATACGTTACTGTGCCGATAATACAATGTGTAACCTTTTTCAAAAAGTAATTACTCATTATTACATCAGTCAACTTCATTATTATCTTTATTGGCCAGGCACTAAGCTAGAGTATAGTTCCACCAAAGTTAGAGCAAGATAACAATCCATGACATACATTACATGCACGATGAACAAATCAATGTTAATTTGTCTGCAGCTATTGTGAAAGAAAACTAATAAATTTTAGCAACACATAAAACTTAATGAGCCACATAAAACCCTTCTTAATCCCTTGTATGTACCATTATTAGTCAATCAAGAATCCAAACTTGTTTGTTTGGCTAAAATTACTTTTCATTTCCGACAAGTCCGTGGGATGGAAATGAGGGTCCAAAATGTGGTGCATTTTTCTGTTGTAACCTATAACCCCCCAGCCACATTATGTGCCCCGTCCACCACCTTCACCAAGTCCCGCACCATCAAAAATTTATACGCATAACACCAGACGACCCCACCATGAGCCTAAACAATTGCTCCATATGCAAAAGAAATTTAATCAAGTGGGTTGGAGGTGTGCAGCCGCGCAGCAGTGCCTATCTAAGCTATCAGGGTAAAGTTGCTTTTACATTTTGCTCTTATAACTTTTTGGTTATAGATTTCCCAACTCGTGTTCCTCATTTTGGTCCTATGTCCAACTGCATTTAATTAACTCAGGAGAAATAAAGTGTTATTGCCATGCAGTGAGGAAAATAAAAAAAAGAAGTAATGAGCAGTCAGTTTTCTGATATTTTCTAACTATAACAGCCTGAATTAAGCTTCTTAATTAATACAAGTAAGTCATTTACAATATGATTATTTCTTTAAAGTCTATTTTTTATACATTTATTCGATTGACATTTTAGTGGATGTCCACAACAACATATTCAGGCATATATTGACCAAATATATACAAATACATAAAGAAAATAATATGGCACTTGCATTGATATGAAAGAATGAAACTAACTAATGTAATATTCTCATCAAATGGGAGGAAAAAAAGAAAAAAAAAGGGAGCGATATAGTCCTTAATTATTGAGTTTTTAAGCTAGCTAGGTCAATACTACTAATTCTTTTCTTACTTGATTCGTGGAAAGGCACTTATAACTCTGCAGTTTCCAAGTCAAATGACTGAAAACATCATATCTATATTTCTGTACACAGCAATTTTGATGGATTAATGAATGACCTTGTTAAACCATAACAAGAATTATATATAGTCTCAAACTTTGTGGGATCAGCATATAATTGAAATGGCAGGGCATAGCAGCATGGTGAGTTTACTATTAATGGTTATAATATTGGCAACTATGGCTTTAACCAGCAAAGCCCAACCTCCGACGGCCATGGTGCCTGCCCTCGCGCCAGCCTCAGCATTGCCACCAGCTAAGGTGTTTAGTCTGGCATTACTTTTTCTTAACATTTCCCAGCCAGATTTAACTCCAACTCCACCAACGCCGGTGCCTCCTCCTCCTCCAACTCCAAGGTCGATGCCCCCTCCACCTCCATCGCCAACCATGGAACCACCTGAAGATGATTCCCCTCCTCCTTTAGAGAATCCATCATCATCAGATGGTATTATCAATGAAAACCCACCTTTAGAGGCTCCATCGCCGTCAGATGACTCGGATGGTAATATCAACGACAATCCACAACCATCTCCGCCCCTTCCACCGGATGAGGGGACTGATCCATTGCCAGATCCTACACTCGCTCCAAATCCACCACCATCACCGCCACCACCACCACCAACAGTTACTGATCCGGAAGAGGATGCTACACCGATGCCACCATCAGAAGAATAGATTCCTACAGCTCTGTTTTTTTCCCACACCTTATCTATCTGTATTGCTATTCATCTAGTCATTTTGCTCTGATCACTCGTCATGGTTCATCGCAACGTTTCTCCACTATTTGTATTATTTCCCATATGTTACTATATAAGACGTCGCGTGTACTAACATAATTTTTTGAGGTTAGGGCCATCTTTTTCATTAAACATCTCATTTAGAGATGGGGATTAACAAAGTTTCGGTGTCAAATCTATTAAAAAAAAATGTTGAACTGATAGAGTTTACAGCTCTTGGTTATTATATTCTAAATCAAGTGTGCACTACAAAATCATCTAACTAAATAGACTCCAGTAAAAAATCAATCATATTATACTTGCAAATTGTTAATTAAACGGAAAATTTAAAACAATTGGTAGCTTGTCCTGAAATTCTGATCAAACCTTCCATAACTCCATATTATAATGCCCTCACACAGTCACACACACCTGCTACGAAATTTCCAACCAATTCTGTATCTAAACATAACATAAGTCATTGTTTCTTCAAATTCATAAGATTCGTGGGTTGAAATTAAATAGGGTTCAAATTTGTGGTAAGTCTGCTTTTAGTAGCCATGCTAGCCAGTATAGCCTTGACTACAAAGTCCCAGTACCTCAAGATTGTAAACCGCCAACTAATACTCTCCCTACCAAATGGGTTAGTCCAGGAGCCAGTGTCAGAGACCCTCCCTAGGCGATCCACAGGGATGCTAAAGATTGTTGGTAGACGGCTAAGATCACGAGTGTTCACACCGCCAGCACCTAACCAAGCTCCAGGATACATTCAACGAGCGCCACCAACTCCCCCTCCTATCTACAGGTGACATTATTGGGGATTTTAAGGCTATCGTCTTCACTGTAATACAATCTTATCATCATCATTTTCTCCTAACATTTTCTGAAATTCCATGTATTTCATCATTTAGAGTGAATTAAACTGTATTCGTGAAGAGAAAGCACTTATGACATGCAGTGAGAAATAAAAAAAAAAATGAAGAGCAATCAGCTTTCTAATGTACTGTAGTGCGTTTGGCGTTTCTACCAATAACTGCATGGTTAAACTTCTTAAGTAATACTATCAGTCATTGTTTCTTATTACTATGATGGATGATGAAATTCCCAAGAAATGTTGATGAATTTATCATAACACTTATTTGAAATATTACCCTCCAGAACATAAGTATTTAGTTATTTACATAATTTTTGAGCTTAGGAACACCTACTTTTTTATTGAACGTTTCATTTAGAGAAAAAAAGTGTTGAACTGACTGAGTTTACAGCTCTTGCTTATTATATTCTAAATCAAGTGGACACAACAACACAATTAATTAAATAGACTCCAGAAAAATTCAATAACACTATACTTGTTTGTAAAATTGAAAACTAAAACAAATAAAGAATTGGTAACTTACCCTGAAATTATGATTTAACTTTCCCTATCTCCATATTATGAACCCTGACACACCTGCTACAAATTTTCAACCAATTCTGTTTCTTAAATATCAAGACCTTGTTTCTTCATTGGATTAGTGGGTTGAAACTAAATGGGGATCAAAATTATGTCAAGTATGCTTTTAATAGCCTTGTTAGCCAGTATAGCCTTGACTACAAAGTACCTTGAGATTGCAAACGGCAGACTAATACTCTCCCTACCAAATGGGTTTGTCCAGAACCCAGTGTCAGAGACCCTCCCTAGACGACCCACAAGGATGCTAGAGACTGTTAGCAGACGGCGAAGACCACCAGTTGGCACACCGCCACCACCACAGAGGGCTCCAGGACAAATGCAACAAGCGCCACCACCTCCTCTTATCTACAGGTGACATTATTGGGGATTTTAAGGCTATCATCTTCATGGTAATACAATCTTATCATTATTTTCTCCTAAGATTTTCTGAAATTCACCATCAACTCCAGTAGGCGATTCTGACGTTGAGACATTCAACGACCATCCCCACCTAAGGATGTTTAGGGAACCACCAGACTATGATCCTACACTGAAGCCTAAACCAGAAGAATAGATTTATCATTCCTATTTTTTTCTCTGTTTTGCACTACTCATAGTATGTTTCCTGTGTTTATATCTCTGATAATATGTCAGTTTAGATGGCCTGGCTAAATCAGCTTGTTTTATTTTAATTTCCTACACCCTATCTGTATTATTGCTACTCAATCGTTCATTTTGCTCTAATCACTGATCATGATCCATTGCTACGCTTTTCTTCTCTCTGTATTTTCCAATATATTACTCATTCAACTTCATTATCATTAGTGGTCAAGCAATAAGTAAGAGTTTCATTATCACAAAGGTAACAGCAAGATGACATAAATCATGCACAGCGAACAAATCAATAATAGTAAAGTTTAGCAGGCATTGGATGTACCATTATTAGTTAAACACAATTCACCAATTTCTTAATAAGCCTAAAATCATTACCATTTCCGCCAAGTTTGTGGGTAGGACATGAGAATATGTGATGTGTTTCCTGTTTGCAGTGTTGCTAGTTTTAATGGCATCAACTGTAACCCTTCAGCCACAAAAATGTGTCCGGTTCACTGCCTTTACCTAGTCCTGCTGTGTCAAAAATTGGCATAACAACGAAAGTGCAATGGTTTTTGCCTTTTTAAGACAGATATAGTCCAATATTAGCTCTGCTCAGGGGTTGGAGGGGTGCAAGCGCGGTGCAATATCAGTGCAGCAGCATCTAGATCAAGGTCCCGTCAAAAAAATAATTCAAAGAGCACTCAACTTTCAAATAGTTTCTAACTATAACAGCCTGGATTAAACTACTTCCTAATTAATACTTCGTATAAAACATTTGCAATGTGGTTATTTCATACAAGTCTATGTTCGTGATTCAATTGACATTTGAGTGAATGTGTACAACAGCATAATCAGGCGTAAACTGACCAAATATATATATGAAGAAAAAATGGCACTTGCATTATGATATGAAGCTAATTTATGTAATATTCTCATCAAATGGGAGTATAAAAAACAAATTATAGAGCAATATAATGTTAAATTATTGAGTTTTTAAGCTAGCTAGCTCAATACTACTAATTCTTTTCTTACTTAATTCGTGGAAAGGCACTAATAACTCAGCAATTTCCACTAAAATGAATGAAAAGATCTTGTGTATATTTCTGTACATAATTATTTTATGTAATTTAAGGAAATTTTGATGGAATAATGAATGACCTTGTTAAACCATACCTAGAGTTATATAAAGTCTCAAACTTTGTGAGATCAGAATATAATTGAAATGGCAGGGCATAGTAGTATGGTGAGTTTACTATTAATGGTTATAATGCTGGCAAGTAGGGCTTTCACCACCAAATCCCAACCTCAGATGGCCACGCCACCTGCGCTTGCGCCAGCCTCAGTATAGCCACCTGCTAAGGTGTTTAGTCTGGCATTGTTTTTTCTTAGCATTTCCCAACCAGATCTACCACCAACTCCTAGCACGGTGCCTCCTCCGTCACTGATCATGGAGTCACCCGAAGATGATATCACTCCTCCAGCACCATTAGGGAGGACAAATCCTACACCAGTTCCTATGATCGATGACAATGATCCACCTGAAGATGATTCCACTCCTTCAGCACCATTAGGGGTGACAAATCCAACGCCAGTTCCTATGATCGATGACAATGATCCACCTGAAGATGATTCCCCTCCTCCTTTAGGTATGACCATTCCATCTTCAGATGGTGATATCGATTACATACCACAAGAATTTCCAGGGGATCCACCTACAGGTGAGCCCCTTCCACCGGAAGATGAGACTGATCCATCATCAGATCCTACACTTGCTCCTAATCCACCACCATCACCAGTTACTGATCCAAAAAATGATGCTACACCGATGCCACCATCTGATCCACCGTCAGATCCTACACTTGCTCCTAATCCACCACCACCACCATCACCATCACCACCAATTACTGATCCAAAAGATGATGCTACACCGAGGCCACCATCTAATCCACCGTCAGATCCTACACTTGCTCCTAATCCACCACCATCACCAGTTACTGATCCAAAAGATGATGCTACACCGATGCCACCATCTAATCCATCGTCAGATCCTACACTTGCTCCAAATCCACCACCACCACCAGTTACTGATCCAAAAGAGGATGCTATACCGATGCCACCATCAGAAGAATAGATTCCCTTAGCTGAGTTTTCTATTGTATTCTACTAAACAGTTTCTTTATCAGGGTTATCAAGTCTCAACCTACTACCCTCGTACCCTCGTAGTATGTTTCCTGTGTACATAGCTCCGTGAATGGGTCAGTTTTATGGCCTGGGTTAATCAGGGTTTTCGCACAATATATCTATCTGTATTGCTATTCATTTGGTCATTTGGCTCTGATCACTTGTCATGGTTCATCGTAACATTTCTCTACTATTAAACTCCTGCTTATTTGTTCAACTTCATTATATTTAGTGGCCAGGCACTTTTCCCCTCCCTATTGATCTTAGGGGCATTTTTTTTTTCCAATTAAACATCTCACTTAGTGACAGTGATTAAAGTAGTTTGAGCGTCTAATCTGAGTACTCCGTATTAAACAAAAGTATTTTAGTGTTGAACTAAGTTTATAAATCAAGTGGGTACAACTGTACAACAACAAAATTAATTAAATAAAGAGAAAATCCAAGTTGATATCGGTGATAAACTTGAATTGTTTATCTCATGGCAATTTGGTAATAAAATTGCATTGATGTGCGTGTCTAGGCAATAAAAAAATGCTAGAAGATAATATTATACGGAGAATATATTTGTACTTTGTAACGTGGAAGACTAAAACAATGGGTAGAATGTCCTTAAATTCTGATTAAACTTCCATATTCCGTATTATAATAGCCTCACATTACCTGCTACGAAATTTTCAACAAACTCTGTTATTAATCATAAGTCCTTTCTTCATATCATAAGTTTTTTTAGAGTTGAATTTAAATGGGGTTCAATTACATGGTAAGTCTGCTGTTAGTAGCCATGCTACCCTGTATGGTCTTGACTACAAAGTCCCAGTACCTTGAGACAGCAAACGGCCGACTAATACTCTCCCTACCAAATGGGTTAGTCCATCAACCAATTTCAGAGATCCTCCCTAGACGACCAACAAGGGGACTTAAGATTCTTGGCAGACGGCGAAGACCACCAGTCAGCGCACCACCACCACCTCAGAAAGCTCCAGTACGCAATTTTGTACTACCAAATCCTCCCCCTCCTCCTATCTACAGGTGAATTATTGGGGATTCTAAGGCTATCATCTTCATGGTAATACAATCTTATCATCATTTGCTCCGAGATTTCCTGAAATTCAGTGTATCTAGTTCAGCACATCTCATACAGTCATATGTTGCATACCCCCTTTTCTTTTGTCTATTACTTTTGATCGATCATTCAAAGCTACGCCCATCCTCGAAGATTTCAAGGGAAGAGAAGCCATCTGCAATAACTGCAAGTGCTCCTTCTGGCGTACATACCTATGTATCGGGGGACTAGGGGAAGCCTGTACTATCTCTGAACATCTGAAAAAGTTTGTCTACTTCTACTATAATTGACAAAAATTGTGATTCACATTAGCAAGTCAGCCAAACAACTTCATCTGTATTCCTATTTTGATTACAATATCGTGTAATGGTGTAATCCTTATTTTGGTTTTTTCTTACTGTAAATTCTATACTGCTAAATTTCTACCATTCCGTGTATCTGTTTGGGTGTCAAACAACTTCCCATTTTCCATAGCATTTCAGTATAGCACAACAAACCTGATGAGTTTGATTACTTCAGGTTTCAGGTATTGCTGTTCCTGAAAATCTGGTTGATTTGCATTAAGCCGTACTTTCACAGTTTCAAAGATTCCCTCTGTCCCAGGTTCCAAATATAATAGGCTAAACCTAACTTTAAGGTCAAACCTTGTCAACTTCATAATATATTATTTTTCATTTAACAACTTCAAACATTATTGTTGATCGATACCTATAAACTAATTTAATAATCTAGGCAATAAATCAAGTATAAGAGTTATAAATCCCTGTTGTTAGTCTTACCAGCAAGGTCAGATGTGAGTCAATCCCATAGGGAAGGGTCAGTAATTAAAATTACGTAAGCTCAGCATAGCCTTATTCCCGAAATAACAAAACTTCTCAACTATAAGCCGGTTTTAGAACTTTACTGCTACCCCTTTCCCTAAACTTAAGCATTTTCTGATAATATAGGCAAAGGATTCATGGCATTGACATTGCCAGTAAATACCTGATCCAATGCATGTTTTTCTCGTCTTCTCTAAGGATTTATCTATTAGTCAAACAGCAAACATCACAGTACCCGCTTGGTATAAGGTCACAGGGGAGTTGTATACAGTTTTAATCTCTTGAAACCTGTTTGGAGGAAAATACTTTTACGTAGTATTAAATACTAGACAATGTTATCATTCAATTGCATATCATCTCCATGACTCTATAAGATTTATCCACTTAAGCAGGGGATGATACCGAGTAGATAGTAAAATTTCTTATTTACAATGATAGCTTAACAAAGGTGTTGATTTGAATGGTTTCTGGCAATTTCCTATGGAACATAAGTATTTATGTAAACATAAAAAAATATATAAAAAATAAAATAATAATAAAAAAAATAAATAAAAAAAAAATCGATAGGAAATTACGAGTTAATTTTGAGCTTAGGGGCATTTTTTTCCAATTAAACATCTCGCTTAGTGACAGTGATTAAAGTAATTTGTGGTCAAATCTATTAAACAAAGAAATCTAAGTTTTTAGCTGACCAAGTTTACATCTCTCGCTTATTAAATTAAAAATCAAGTGGGTAGCATGTCCTTAAAGTCTGATCAAACCTTACGTAGTTCCCTATTATAATGGCTTCACATACCTGCTATGAAAATTTCAACCATTTCTGTTTCTAATCAAAAGTCCTTGTTTCTTCATGTCATAAGTTTTTGAGGGTTGAAATTAAATGGGGTTCAAAAACATGGTAAGTCTGCTGTTAGTAGCCATGCTAGCCAGTATGGTCTTGGTCTCGACTACAAAGTCTCAGTACCTTGAGATTGTAAATGGTCAACTAATACTCTCCCTACCAAATGGGTTAGTCCACCAACCAGTTTCAGAGACCCTCCCTAGACGATCAGTAAGGGTGCTAAGGATTCTTGGCAGACGGCGAAGACCACCAGTCCGCGCACCACCACCACCTCAGCGAGCTCCAATACACACTTTTTTAGCACCACCAACTCCTCCCCCTCCCCCTTACCCTTACCCTCCCCCTCCTATCTACAGGTGACAATATTGGGGACTATAAGGTTATCATTTTCATGGTAATACAATCTAATCATCATCTTCTCCAAGATTTTCTGAAATTCACTTTATCTAGTTCAGTACATCTCACATACTCATATGTTGCATATCTCCTTTACTTTTGTCTATCACTTTTGATCTATCATTCAAAGTCGCAGCCACCCACAAAGTTTTCAAGGGAAGAAAAGCTATTGGCAATATTGCCATACATAACAGTGAGTGCTCCTGGTGTATGCACATACCTTTGTAACAGGGGACTGGGGGTAGCCTGTACTATCTCTGAAATCTGAAAAAGTTCGTCTACTTTTACTATAACTGACATAAATTGTGATTCGCATCAGCAACTCATAGTATGAAGTGGACAAAATTTCTAGACCGAAGGGCTATAGGTTTTACATGTAATTCTTGTCTTCCCCCCCTGATTTATTTCAGTAAAGTAACTTCATTCGTATTCCTATTTTGATTACATACATTATCATGTAATTGTGTAATTCTTATTTTGGTTATTTTCTTACTGTAAATTTTATACTGCTAAATGTCTGTCATTCTATGTACTCACCAGTTTTGGTGTGAAACAACTTCCCATATTCATAGCAGTATACCACAGCAAAACTAATGAGTTTGATTACTTCAAGTATTGCTGTTCCTGAAAATCTCATTGATTTTCATGAAGCCATACTTTCATAGCTCCAAAGATTCCCTCTGTCACAAGTCCTCAATATAATAGGATAAATCTAACTTTTAAGGTCAAACCTTATCAACTTCATAATATATTCTTTTCATTTAACAACTTCAAGCATTATTGTTGACAATACCTATAAACTATTCCAAAATAATCTAGGCATAGATTTATTGAGATCAATCTAAAATCTGATAATGTTATTACTCTCTCTTGGTAGGCTTAGCAATTAGGTCAGATGTGAGTCAATCCCATAGGGAAGGATCAGTAATTAAAAAAAAAAAAAAAAAAAAAAAGGTGAGTTTCACTTAGCCTTATTCCCTAAATAATAATACTTCTCAAGTAAAAGCCGGTTTTAGAACTCTATTTGGCTACTCCTTTCCCTAAACCCAAGCACTTTTTGATAAAATAGGCAAAGGATGCATGGCATTGGCATTACCAGGAAATACCTGATTAAATTCATGTTCTTCTAGGATTTATCCATAAGTCAAATAGCAAACGTCACACCACCACTTGGATAAGGTCACAGGGGAGTCATATACAGTTTTAATCTCTTGGATGAGAGGTTCTATGTGATTATTTATGATGGATCCACTTCTTAAAATTTCTGTTTTTCATGTTTACTATTCGAGAAGTTTACAAAAGGGGCAAGAAAAATAAACTAAGAAAAACATATCACGAGACTATGAGAGTAAATGTGTTATGTGTCAAGGTTTTACTTTTATAAAAGCCACTCCCAACATTCGGGTGTAGATTCATTGATTTTGTACATATATTGAGTGTATCATTACAATGGTGAAACAAGTACATATTTCCCAAACCTTTAAGCAGATAAAGAGAAAGCATGAAAGTTTGTTCATGGCATCTTTTATCTACCAACTCAATCAACATACTTAGCATTCTAGAAACACCAAAACTCAAAATACATGTGTACAATGCTACACCATGGAAACAAAGGAGAATTTGAGCAACTAAGCAACCAGCTTTTAGAGTTCAGGTAAGGTTGAGAACAGCTAACCTGATTCTAAGCAAATCTTGTTGCTGACTGATGAAGACATGCATGATAGACAAGGAAAGTTTTCACTTCACAAATGGTACTCCGGACGGGACACTTTGAGCATATTCTTCATACTCATCATCAAAGAACTGTCTCAAGAAAAACTCTTCATAGGGTATGCGTCCAGCAAAGAACTTCCAAACTACCACTGCAAATGCTAGGGTACAAATGGGATTTAACAGCATAATCTGAGTGCCAACTGACCAGATGAAAAAGCCGCAATAACCTGGATGCCTCACAAATCCATAAATTCCGTGAGTTACTAGTCTGTGTTGCTCCTCATGGTGGACTTTAATCAGATGCGTAAAGGCATGACCAGCTGTTACCATTGCCACTTTTCGTATTATTTCCCCAAAGACAACCATGCCAAGGCCTGAGTTGCTTATCCACCAATATTCTTTCAGTCCAGGAAGGAAGGTGATCTCAAGCCAGTACTCAAGCAACGAGCATATCATTGCCACAATGTAATTTTTGCTTATCAAAAGAGATTTCAGAGTCACATTTGATCTCCCATGAATGTAAACAGCTAAAAAATACTCCGAAACATGAAAAAAACCTATAGCCACTATAAATTGAGATAATTGTCTGCAAGCAGTACTGCTGAAGAGTTCAGTCATTTCTTGACGAGAAGATAGTGAAGTAATATAAGCCAATCAGGACCCTTGTCAGAAGATTCAGACCTACTTATTCAACCACGTCAATGCATTAGCATTGTTGATTATCTCAGATCTGGGACACACTGGTAGAGATATGATACCAAGACAAAGAGTCGAGTCTGCATTTCATCCCCGCCTCATACCTTGAAAACAAAAAAAAAAAAAAAAAATGATTCTCGTTAGGATTCCCACCCCATGTGCTCCATAACACAACTAAGCTCACCAGATGTAGTATACACATAAAGGCAACAATAACATGAATATATAAAAGCCTCCTACTTTAGGTAAACCTCAAGCATTCATAATCAGCAGCACTTTGAGCATAACCATAAGAAACTGCGTGATGATAAGAAATAACCTAACAAAGTAAACATTAGGAGGATAGGAAAAGACTGTCTATAAGACACAATCAAAGCAACAGATCATTCATCAATGTAAAGATACTTCCAGGAAGGGTTTCTAAAAATGAATCAAATCTCTTCTCACTCTACTGTAGAAGGGATTTGTGTAATTGTAAAAGGCAACCATTAACCCTACTAACATACGATACAACAAAGCCATATACTGGAATGCTCTTATGTTAAGCAAAAGCACCAGTCATATACAGATAACAAAACCAAGTGATCCCAAAAGAAAAATGCAAGTAAAAAATGGTGGTGAATAGTTAGTCTTGATAACGATGACCAACTCAAAAGCAGTTAGGGAAGAGATCTTCTCTTAATTATCATTTGTGAATATTCACTAATATTTATCTCATTTAACAGCTTGTATGTATATCCTCTTAGCTTGTTATTATCTTTTGTAAACCTAGGTTACAGTACTTCTTAGGTGTATAAATACACGTTAAACTTAATGAGAATACTATCAATTATCTTATAAGTCTTTCATCCCATACAATCTTCAATCACATTTTCCTAAAAACCTAATGCTAGCTTAAACATAACACCAATATCACTAATATCAACACAAGATAAACGGTTTGGAAAGCCAAATCATGATTCATGAAACTCACTATAACAATTTCTTACATTGTACTCTATATCATATTTTGCTCATTTCCATTCCATCCTATCTATCATACAACTTACCGGCTAATTTTCCACCTACGGCGCAACTAGCTTAGTTGGTTAAAATCTACTGGTAGTAGTACCCATAGACCTAAAATTAATTCTCGTTACATCATTTTTCCTTTTGCAGCTATCTCCACACCTTAAATAAATCAAAAGAACTCGAATTACAAAATTTCACAACAAACTAATTCAAATTTCCAATAGACCCAAAATAATGGATCAAAATTCAATTTAAGAAACTACTAATCCTTAAAGTTACATTCTTTCAGTAATTCAATGTACAACAATAAATCTAAGTACCCTTCTGCAATCATAATCATAATGAATAAAGAAGACAATCTATAAATGCAGATTATAAATAATATTCAAATTGTTAGTTTCAAGAATGTAAATTAATCAACAAAAATGAACAACATTATACAGTTTATAAAAAAAAATGATTTTTGGTGAAAGAACCTGAAGAGTGTGATAGCAGAAGATGAATCGGAGGAGAGCCACTGAGTCAGATTCCCGAGTGCAGCCGAGTCGATTTGACTCACTGAAAACCGGCTAAAATAATGTTTGGTTTTATTTATTTTTTTTCCTTTTTTTTCATTAGGATTTAGGACAATAGGCCCATATAAAGAAAAGAGCCAACGGTCCATATAAAGGCCCATATTGTAATGGCAAGGAAAAGGCCCATATGTTACAGTTTCTACCAAAAAAAAAAAAAAAAAAAATCCATAATCTAAGGGTTAAAGTCACTCGTAGCGTAGAAGCAATAAATTTGAAATCTTATGATAAAATTACACATTGATGTGTTTGTTAATTTTTGGTTTTCTCAAAGTCATAGCTTAGAAGCAAGAAATTTTCTAAGAGTGATTGCTTAAAATAGATGTTTTTGCTTAAAAATCATCGTTTGATATAAAATACGGAGTAGTACATAATGCAAAGTAAGCCAAGTATATGTACGATGTATAAAAAGTGTCTATATATGTGCAATGTTGTTGACAAAATCCAAATTTAAAACAAGCTTAATCCATTTACGAGTATGTGTTTAAAGATCAGCAACATAATTTAAAGCATGGAATAGGTAATTATTGAAAACAATGGAATATTATTCGATAATTTCGGTTTGCATGCTACAATTTGTTGCTAGACTTTTTGTCATGTACAATTTTTTCAATAAAGGGTTCTAGTTTCTCTTCCACGTCTTCAAAGTCTTGCTTCATCACATCCACCTGCACATCATGTAATTTACAAAAACTTAAATGGTTGCCATAAAGAAATAACACAAAAATGTTTTTAGAGTATAACATTATCACCCAAAAACTTAACCAATTAAACTAGTTGACATGTACGAGAAAAAATAGAAATGACCTTAATAAACTAAAAATATCGTACGTGTTTACCTTATGTATGATTTCTTCAGCTAAGTGAGCATCCTTAGCAGCCTCCTCTGAAACATGCTCGACAACCAAAGCTGCTTCCTTAAATTTGTTACCATCAGGAAGTTCATTAGCCACCTCCTCCGAAAGCCTCTCCGTCACGGTTGCCACCTTCTCTACCACTTCCGCCACTTGTTCTACTTCTTTCAACACTACTTCCGCCTCACCTAATGTATTTGATAATCATATATAATTATATTAAACAACATCGAAAAATGAAATAAATAAAGATTGTTATGTACGTAACGTTAATGTTTATGTACTGTATTCAGTATATAAATATCAATTACCTCCTATTCTAAGAAGAGTTGTCCATTTAGGTGCCCAAAATGCTAGAAGTAGAGAAAACATAGAGCCTAAAACCATTTTTATCCTGCACACGTAAAACAACAAACTCGTTATTAAATTAATTTGTGTCTACACTCGAAATCCTTGTATATAAATTATACGTATAAATTAAATTGTCTCACATTTTGTATTGCTATCGGAGAAAACGTGATGAGAATAATAAATTTATTATAAAATTGTGATACTGATATGATATTACAAGAATAATAAATCTATCATAGATCAGATATATATAATCACTATATATATTCTCTAAAATATTATCGCAACAACATCAGTTCTAAGATTTCTAACTGTCTCTTAAAATGACTACTGTAGAATCATCCAATAAAGATGAAAATCATCATGAAACACATACATACCACGAAACACGCCTAGCTGGTGGTGGCCGTGGTTTAGGAGAAGGTGGTTTAGGTAACGGTGGTGTTGGCTTTCCATCGCCTCCCCTGCATATATAATTACATTAATAACTAATTAAGATCGCGATATAGCTAATAAACTTGCTAATTAATTATTTACTCTTACGTTCCGCCAGAAGTAGAAGCACCATCAGCACGAATCATTTTTCTACTTCCAGTAGATTGCACATTAATAAAAGAGCCATTATTATCTCCAATTCTTCGCCTAGAATTCGAAAAAACAGCATTATTAGCCAATGGATTGTTTGTTTTTGCTCTATAGAGTTGTATAAGCTCAATCAAACCGCGCATTTTGTATGATCCTAAATTGTTTCTCATCCTTGCAAACGATACTAATACAAATAAGCCGTGATTCTCAATACCAACTTTGATCTTCTTAGCCAAATCTACGTTGGAATTCGAGTTTCGTACAATTGGAAGAATTATGTAACGCTAGCTCGTCCTATATATAAGGTTAACTTTATATGAATATGGCGTGATAATATAAAGTTAAAGTTTGAGTTTGTATAAAGCATTTATATAAGTAATGGCCTAGCTAGTTCGCGTGTTAAATTGGGCGATACAATAATACAGTTTATTTATATATAATCAATTATTTGATGGATTGCTTTAAGGATATGCATGGCTTATGTGAAAAATTAAGCAAAAAAACTCGTAACTTGAAATATAAATTATGTTACTTGCAAGTCATGTATTGCCTAATTTGTATCATATATTAATTATCTTTCTTTCAATCTTTGTATTTCATACGTAAATATTTACTAAAATGGTTTTTTTTTTTTTTTATTGTTTATACTTCATGTAATCATGTTCTCTCATACGGCTCATTTCTTTGTCACGTCGTTAGGAGTACTTGCGTATAAATTTTTTTTGCTTTCTTAGAATTTTTTAATTAGATCCATCTCTAAAAATGTGATAAGAACAAAACTTTTTGGAGGAAAGGAGGGAGAAAGAGAAAATGAATAATCTCTTGTTTAGATAGATAACAATACATATGAATATATGATCGAAATGGGAAGAAACATCCTCCTCTCCTCTCATTATTACTTTTTTCTTTCTTCTGAAATTCCTTACTTAAACGCATGAAATCCACGACATGACATGACATGACAAGTTATCCGAAATTTCCATTATACAACACTAGCTAACAATGGATTAGGTTAGGGGTTGGGTTAAGTCAGGTTGAGTTGATATAAATGGCCTGGTTTGAGAATCTTTCAACCCAACTTGGCATGACATTTAAACAAGTGAACTTGAAGCTCGACTATTTTTAAGGTTTTTTTTTTTATTTATTTTTATTTTTTTCTTAATACAGAGTAAGGAGTATAAGATAATGCATTTGTGTGACTCTTCCTGTTTGATAAAATTTTTCTAATTCTTTGTTAGCATATTATCAACCCAACACTACAACAGTGCAACCATTTCTTAAATTTACCTATAAGTTTTTGCTTGTGATATCAATGGTGGGTAAAGTCTAAACTCTCGATAAAAATATGCTATGCATTTAAAATCCGAATCTCTAACATATTAGCAAACTTCGTAGGGATGTAAGATTTCACATAGATTAATGCGAGTTGGGAGAATGGGACAAATGTTTGTTTACACATTATACTAGTATATGTATGCAAGACCACAACCTTTTTGAGTGGAGAGCCAAGACTACTTAAGAGTGTCTTTATCTTCTTATTTTACTACCCGTTTTCTAAGCATTTTCTCAGCTTCTCCTTTTGCTAATTAATTGCCTTTTTTTTTGTACTAGCTTTTAGAATTTGATATATTTTTTTTACAAATCTTACCTCGACAACTTAATTCAAGTTAAGGCAAAACAGATGGAAAATAAAACTATTATCATAATTCAAAACGTGACAACTTTTTTTTCGGGGGGAGGGGGTGTGGGTGTACTAATGTTGCATACTTTAAATATAAAGTAAGGAAAAAAAAAAAATTCCTCAAAAAAAAAAAAAAAAAAAAGGAAAAAATATTATGGAATTAATAGAATAGCTTATTCATAAAGGTAGAAGCGATTTAAGCTCCAACAATCAGTTAGTCACTGATTCAACTTTGTCTTCCCAAAATCTTACTAGATTTAGATTTGTTGCTTTCTTGTAGCAGTAAGTAGTCTCAGGATAAATGATGGATAACCAACAGATTCCGAAAAAGGGGTCTGATTCAGCTTCACCTGCAGAATCTGAAACTACAAAAGTTCAAGAGATTCAACCTGAAAACCCAACTCCCACAAAGGAGTCTGATTCAGCTTCACCTGCAGAATTTGAAGCTACTAAAATTCAAGATATTCAACCTGAAAACCCAACTCCCACATGCCGCCGCCAAACTTCTCATACCTCTGTAAACATTTCTGATGATGTTTCAGCTGCTTCTTCAGGAGCATCTGCGCAACAGAGAGAATGTTCATGCTTTGAGGTACTATGTAAGATAATATTTATACTTTTGCTACCAGTTATATGTGCTTGTTATTTGTGTGTTGCTGCTATGATTATAGCAGTTTTTTTAGGCCTCATCATTACTTGCTCAGTTATTGCTGCCACAGTCGCGTTACCACTGCTATTGGTGTCATTTTTAGTTATACGGTTACTTCAGTTCTTTAGTCACGGTGATGCCTATGACAAAGCGGTTCAACTTATGCTTTTCATCCGTGCTTGGATACTCATAGATATGGTGGTGTTTCTGATTATATTATGGATTTTCTTCTGGGTACCTAAAAACATCTCAGGGTTAAAGCTGTTGTTAGGATTGACTTTAGCAGATTGGGTAAACCTATATTATGTGATCTTCGGCATCTACATTTTGAGCTGTTTTGTTTCAGTAGTGACCATTAATTTATTACCACTGGTCCCCTTGGATCACACAGAAAGTGGCCTTATATTACCCGAAGCAGTGCTTGAAATAATCGACTGTCTCATTTTCTGGTTGGCAGAATCCGAGGTTATGAAACGTGTTTCCACCTTTAAGCACCACAAGATACTTAGACTGAACACTCAAAAATGGATTGAGGTATCAATATTCGTCCTTGTTGCCTACAATGTCATCACCTTGTGTACTTATATGATAGTGTGGTTGCTAAGGAAGTTAGTTTGTCACAAAATACTTAAACCAGGGATTAATACAAAATCACGTCAATACTTAATTATAGAAAAGTTCCTGCGAGGGAAATATCTAATGTATTGGGCTAATGGAATGAAACGCAGCATCAACTTCATATTAAGATCATTGCTGCTTTTAATTACTTGGGTGTCGTATTTTGGCTCTAAGCTAAACAAAACAACCCAGGCCAAATACATTCTGGATTTCGGAACCTGGACTTGTCTGAGTCTTTTAATTTGCTCCTTTCTTTGGCTGGTCAAAACTTGTGTCTTGCTATCATGGGAGGCTTGTTCTGTGTATAACAGATTGAACTCTAAAATCTTGGAAGGTGGGAAGCAATTGTATTTCCTTGGCATCATAGGTCGCCACAACTACGACATCTTAAACCTTCTGTATGAGTGCAAAGATGATGAAACTTTGTGGAACTATGACATCTTAAACTATGACTCGGATGACCAGAGATTAAGACAGTTTGTCTCACATCTATGTAAAACCTTGTTTCCTACTAGGGTAATGAATTTACACGCTCATTACCTAAGTAAATTGGACGATGTGGATGATTGGGGATATTTTGAAGATCAACTTCATGAATATGTGGGTTCCTCACAAGAAATATCAGCTGAAAGGATGGTATGTACTTTCTTCACCAGTCTTCTTTAGTTCTCTATTTGGGAATTTAAATTAAGCACTTAGCTTGTGGGGTTTTACATTAAGTACTCCTGGAGTTTATTAGACACTTTATAGGGGAATTTATCTTTGGTGACCTCGATTTGGGATATTAATCAGATAGCTTCAATTTGGTGATCTCAAAAATTAGACAGGGTGAAAACCTCTGTTAAATTACTCAGGAGGAAAATTCTTTGACCAGGATTTTTTTTAATGCCATTTCATATTTGTTAGGGTTTAATTGATTGACAGCTTGATTTATGTACATTGATCAGGAAAGGGCACGCAACAATTGTTTGTTCCTTGCGAATACATTAAGTAGTGCCAAGGAGGTTGTTGATTGTTTAAACAAGATAATCAGTTGGCTTTTGATTGTTGCTACTTTCATAATGTGGTTGCTTCTAACTGGGTTGGCTTCCACAAAGGTACTAGTCATCATAGCATCTCCGTTGTTAGCTGCAACTTTTATATTTGGAGATGCTTGCAAGACCCTATTTCAAGGGATCATGTTTGCCTACGTTATACACCCTTTCGATGTTGGTGATTTATGTGTCATTGATGGAAACATGGTAAGTTATTCAACTTTTAATAAAAACTTCTGATTCATTTAGCAACAAATCTTTTCTTATATGATTATGGGATGTTATGATTTGCTATTGTTTTCCATAGGTAGAGGTTAAAACAATTGGTGTTTGGAAATCAACCTTCTCAAAAGTTGGGATGCAAGAGCAAGTGTTATATCCAAATTCAGAGTTATGCAACAAAAATATAATCAACTACAAGACAGAATTTGATTGGAATGATTATCTAGAGCTTGATACAGTCTCATTAGACGAGGAAAAAATCAAGATTTTGAAACAAGAAATAGAAAAGTAAGGGTTTTTAAATGCCTCCTCACATATTTTTGTGTCTCTGATTGTATTTTATGCAATACCATCAAATTATTCACAGTTGGTGTATATTTTTGTTTCATCAGATACCTTGATGATGGTGAGAACTGTAAATTTACACCAGGTTATAATTGTGTGGAAGTGGTGATAACTGAAGAAAACATCAAGATAGCTATTAACTTTAGACACAATGTAAACCTCAAGAATAGCACTTACTTTGAATGCCTCAAGGAAAAGCGCAAGCGGCGATCAGAGTTCATTCTCCATGCACAATGCCTTGTAAATCACATGAAAAATGGAAACACAAAAACCTCAGGTTAGCTTCTGTCCATCATTGTTAAGATTCAAACTTTAACACTTTAAAGACAAAAGCATAAAATTGAAAAAAGGATGAATCAATGGCATGTACTGTATTCATCCTACGTCTTAGTGTAACTTTAACTCTCTTACATTCTCCCCCTTCTCCCTTGTCCCTACGACGTTACATGTATTCTTGGTACGGTGTTTCATACTTTACAGTTAACCTTTAGTGTATTCACCTTCATTGCAGAGAGTTACGAAGATAAGGTAGAAAGTAAAAATGGCAGCTTGATGAATATTCCCGATTCAGGTGATGAAGATGACACTTTTGTAGCAGGAAAGGTAGAGGGAGTCTATGGAGGATAAGTAATTCCGTAAACATGTTTGACTACACTTTACACCTTTTGTACAAGTTTGCAATAAAGACAATCTTGCTACAAAATCATTAAAGCTAGGACTGATCTTATTAGCAATAATGCTATAGTTAACTCAAAGCACTTATATGAGCTTAAATCTCAACTCAAATTCAATTTGTGACCTTAATAACTCGGTGTTGAAATCCAGAATTTGTCTAGAAAAGTTCATCAGCTACGAGCCTAGGATTTTATTAAATGCATAATTAAGCAAACCAAATTTTGAATGTGATCTGATTAACTATTAGCTAATAAGCTTACTATACTAGTATTATCTTATGCTAAGATATACTTCCTCATTTTCCTTTTAGTTGACACGTTTGTTTAGTCACGTTTGTCAATGCACAAATTAAAACACTAATATCTTTAATTACTAATAAGAAAAAATTATAAAAAGTTGATATTATAAAACTATACATTGTGACGAATCTAATAAGATCCCACTTAGACTATATTTTTCCTTACATATAAATCACAAAATACGGCCAAAGGGAGGTGTGTGAATAGTGCTAAAGTCAAAACGTGTAAACTAATAAAAAAACGGAGGTAGTATAATATATTCATAAAGGTATCATCATAACGTCATTGTATAATGTCATAAAGTGAAAATTCCAACAAGAACTAGTTGCTATTAAATATTCAAAAGCATTGAAAATCTTCATTGCAAACGCAAGCAAGACAATAACAAACAATAACAAGACATATAAAGTAATAAAAATACTATCCCTAATTAACTACTCTAAATGATTTTCCACAAAATAATTTTCATGACCAATTGCTGATATCATTCACTATTACATTAATTATTTTTATTATGAACATAATACACCTTGATGTAATTTTAATTTTTAATTTTTAATTTTTGTGTTCTTCTAATTGCTCAGTTGTTAATTGTCCCTGTCTTCTTCTCCTACGACGGTACATACAATATTGGATTAGGTTAAGTAAAACCATCACAAATTTGCATGCCAAAAGCAATACGTACAACCTAATAATATTAACAAAAAGCAAGAACTTAGCTAAGAAAGATACAATATAAAGCGGCTTTTGAGGTAGTTATAATCCTATGCAAGATATAAAGTAGGTTATTTTGTTTGTAATTTATCAATTTTTCATAATCAGTACTGATAAAAATCAATTATCAAATATGTATGAAACTATGAAAATATCTTACTATATTTGAAAAAAGAAATGGTAATATGATTATGAAGTCAAACATACTAATATAAAATTATAAATATGTATATATAAACATAGTAAGTCTCTGGTTGCCGAGAATAAGCAGCCAAATTGACTTAACCTCTGTCTCTCATTCAAAGTCTCCTACCCAAATTTTCCCTATATTTAGTTTCCCCTCACAAAAATTTTCCAACACCTCAAACTCCTATCAAAAATTCTAACCCCTTTCTTTACTCTTCCAAATTCCCATGGCTTCTCTGCACGGTCACAGAAAACTCGCAAACTCGAACTCAAACTCAAACTCCGCCACTACCACTGATACCACAGTCAAAACATGCCTACAGTTTTGCAACTCCGAAAAAAATACAACCTCATCACTATACTCTGGTTTCTGCCCTGAGGTCTGTTTGGCAATCTGCCCTTCTCTTTGCATATACCCCCTCACAAATCTTCCCTTACCTCAAGACTATAACCCTTCGAAACTAAACAAGTCCCATAATCTTTCGCCTCTCCTAATCTGCATGCTTATACTTTTAGCCACAACTTTCCTCTTAATCATCTTTTATGTTCTGTATACCAAACTATACTTCCACTTCTATGCACCCAATAGTCATTCTTTTCTCCAAACAAGGCCTAGAAGTAGACGAGGAGGAAGGGTGGGGAGTGATTCTCAGGATGAAGAACACGTGAGTAGGGTGGTCTTCAACCCCTTCTGGTGCATCCCTACCGTAGGACTCCCTGCTATGGTGATCAACTCCATCGCCGTCCACAAATATGGGAAGGAGATGGAGGAAACAGACTGTGCAGTGTGTTTGGCAGAGTTTGAAGAAGGTGATGTACTGAGAGTTTTGCCTAAGTGTAGTCATGCCTTTCATGTACCTTGTATTGATACTTGGCTTTCTTCACATACTACTTGTCCACTTTGCCGTGCTCCTATTATTCCACCTGATCAACAAAATCACGATCACGGTCATGAGCACAAGGCTGAGGATACATCAGCCTCATTGTCACCAACAGTGGAGGAAGCAACAGAGGATAATTCCTCTGACGAGGTTCTTAGAATTAGTATTGTAAGTGGAGAAGAGGGAGTTGATGGGAATAATTTGGAGGAATCCTTGGAAAATAGTACTTCAGATAAAGATCAAGAGAATTTGGAGGAAATTAGTAAAGGGAGTTGTTCCCAAAGATGGTCTTTAGAAAAAGGGACAGCTAATTTGGTGACTAGATCACTTTCTTGCAGTGGAAAGATTTTTTCATCGCGTTCTAATATTAGACCAAGTCCAAATTCATGATTTCGGAACGATTATTTCTTACCAGAACACAATACATGGAAGTATACATTAATACATACCCTTGCATCCTGATGGGTTAATCATACATACTTGTCTCAAAGTCTGGTGGAGTGGGGAGAAATATCTTTCTGTCTTGACAAGTAATACCGTTTAGTTGGGAATTTTCGCGATCTTTTGAGATGGGACATGGAATAAGATATGAAGGGTAGGAAACATCCAAGGAGAATGCAGAACTTTGATGTTAACATCCTGGTTGGTGGATGAAACAAGAGTACAAATTCATTTTTGTTACTTGCAAGTATGAAGCTAGAAAACAGGTAGAATAGTTCTGTCCTATGATTTTGTCATTTGACTAGGATGTTTGAGCTAGCTTTAATTAAATTAGTGTTCTACATCAATGAGAATGAGAATAAGAAAGTGAAGCAACAGCATAACTACTTTTACTAGTTTAGCTGTTGCCTTTTAAAACCTATTTTAAGCATTGGTATAACGACTGCTAGTCTGCTACTTCCTCTATATTACTACACTTACCTTAATATTTAAACCTTTGAGTTTTGGGGTATGTAATGAGAAGTCTTTCAATCCCACAACATAGTTTGAAATTTCCAATATGCTATGCATATAGAGGTCGTGCAGGCAGCATGCACAAAGCAGGTGCATCAGCACAGATGTGTGCACATAATGCAACGGCCTCACATGCATAGTTGCTTATAGTGTACACTCCAGCAGGGGCACCATACTCGGTGCTAGAAGAAGCATGAGATTTTTTGCCCTCAACATGTTATTGATCTCATACCACCTTGTCAATTAAATTTCCTTTTACAGGAAAACAAATTTAAATGATCATATTTTGATGCTCTTGCATACATCAATGCATGGATACATTTGGCCAATCAATAGTTTGAAAGATAGACCATATAGTTCACATAGGAGTAAAATCATTGTGGTGTCAGAAGGATTCAGACCTACCACTAAACGTATCTTGTACAACATGTAACTAACACTCAATGCAAGAAAGACATAAAAATGTGTTGAACTAACCAAAATAAATAAAATTAAATTAAAATCAGTACAAAGTTTAACAAAACAGGGAGATAGAGAGGTTGAGTGCTTGGCATTGTCAAACTCCGATATATAATGGAACCCATAATTAGTGCCTTTTATTATTTCCTGCTTAAAGAGGTGAAGCTTTAATGTTTTAAAGAATTTGCAAAAATTAAGAAGGTAAAAATGAAATGGAAAGTAAAGACGGTAAATATAGATGGGGATCCGTACAGTATCAAGAGGATGTCTTCCAATCAAGCATTTGCCCAGCAAACATAGGAACAATTTCTCCGAATGGGAAAGATATACACTCTGGGACCTTCCATGGTTCTTTTAGCAACTTAATCTTAGATGTGTTCCTTGGAAGACCGTAGAAATCGGGACCATTGAAGCTTGTAAATGCCTCTAACTTGTCAAGTGCATTAGCCTAGATGAGCAAAGAAAGCAGAAGATGAACTTCCAGAAAATCCTACCAGCAAATACAAGTACTATATAATTGAACATCATGCAGGCAGGAAGAGCATGCCACTGCTACCTAATTTGTTTCACATTGAAAAAGAAAAAAAAAAACACTAATCATTCATCAAACTTGTTGGTAAAGAGAATTCAATCTCATGAAAAGATTCATCTAGCATAACCTAGCCCTCTCTGAAGGAGCCTACTACTTCTATTATAAATGCATACCTCTTCAAATACTTTGGCATATAATGACAGAGCAACAGGCGAATTAAAGATTCCAGCACATCCACAAGAACATTCTTTCTTCCACCTCTCATGAGGAGCACTATCAGTCCCGAGAAAATATTTTTTACTCCCACTAGTTACTGCTGAAACAAGTGCCTGCCCTGCATGTACAACCAAAAGGTACTATTAGAGCAAATCGAGACCAGAGAAAATGACAGAAATTCATGTGAAAGACACAACAGAGAAAATGTCATGTATTTTCTTCACTTAATTAGTTGTAGCAAACTACACACCCTATCTAAAATCTCACCCTACAATTATTATTATTAATTTGATTCATTACTGATTTGAAAGCACATACTATGGATTTCCCTTTTAAGCACTGGAAGACAATAATTATGTGGCTGCAAGCCTCCTTGGAAGAGAGAGTTCCTATTCAGAACAAGGTGTTGTGGAGTCACAGTGGCGGCTACAGTACCTGATAATTGTAGAAGGAGCAAGATTAATAAACAGGTAGATTTTAGCACTGCACTGATTCACTAAAAGAAAATTAGAAAATTAGTTTAATAACTGAAAAGGATAAACTTACCTTCATCACATGTTTCAACAAATTTGACAGCATCAGCTGTAGTGATATGTTCCATCACAACTTTAAGCTGAGGAAGTTTTTGTAGTAAAGGTCTTAAAACTGTCTCAATAAATAACATTTCCCGATCAAAAATATCCACATCAGGATCTGTAACCTCCCCATGGACCTGTAAAATAAACACAACTCTCAGTAAACAGTCACCTATTACAAAACCATCATGAATTTATTTGTCACACAGTAATGCAAGTAGCTCCAGGAATGTTGAACTAAAGCACACCAAAAACATTTTCAAATTTCAAGACTGTCATGAATTGAAAAGGTACAAACTCATAGCTTCATCTTAAATGATTTGTATCATACAATGTGAAGCATGTTTATTAATTCAATATGTTTGATCCTGCACCCAAGAGAGAGTGGCAAGACGTTTTGCTTGGACTGGGGAAGAACAGGGTTGATTTGCTTTAGTACTTTAGTTTCTCAGCTTCTCCCTTAAGAATCATGGTTCATTCTAGGAGGTGAAAGAAAACTTTAAAATATGAGCAGGTGAATAATCAACACATTTTCATGGTTAACACAGAATTTTTTTCATTTGCTTGATGGGTTATAACAAGAAAGACAACACCAATCCCTGCGCTGCATTTATTCGTGACAGACAACTTACCAAGAGAGGCATATTTTGTTCAGCCATCTCTTGGAGCACAGGCAAACACTTTCCAAAAAGATCAGTAACACCATCCTGTGAGTTAGTTGTTGCACCAGCTGGGTACAATTTGACAGCATAAACCACCCCACTTTCTCCTGTCAAAATAATTACAGTGCCAATCAAAAACAACTTAGATTAGACTTTGGGAAGGCTAACATACTATTACACGAACAAGATCCCAGTTAAACAACATTGTTCACTTTCAAGTTTCAAGTGAATAACAAATGCTAAACAAAATCTTCTATAAACACTAAGAACCAAATCAAACAAACTCTATAACTAAGAAAGCACAAAATGAACATGAAATGACAGAAATACAAATGTAGGGATCATGAAGCCATAAAGGTAGGAAAGCAATAGATAATTTTATTAGAAAATACAGCTCTATGACTAAGGATTTCTTGGGTTATAACTTATAAGTTTGAAAAGACTCGTGTCAATGTTCACGATAATGCTTGTCTACCACAAATATCACTTTTCCTTCATTAAATTCCCACTACCCACTTCTAAAATTGATTGAAAACAATCACTATTGAAAGAAGAAAAAAAATGTTTGCTAATGACTCTTCAAACCATGGATATTGACATGGGATTTTCCGTACAAACTAACACATAAATTCGTTACCATTTGTCTATTCCTATCATTTATTAGTATCATTAGTTCATTACCGCCTACCAAACGAGCCGTTGATATATAACAAGCAAACCCAATAACAACATCAATTTCACCTAAATCAAAAGTTTAGACTTACTAGCAAGCTTGATCTCATTAGGGGTAGTAGTATCAGTCAAATAGAGTGTCATAAGAGGATCAAATTCGCTATTCGAAGGCAAAACCTTCAAAATCGAGTCTCGGTACGCAACAGCAGCAGCTGTAGTAGTAATTGGAGGCCTTAGATTTGGCATTACAATTGCCCTCCCATAATATGTAGCACTGAATTACATAACAATACACTTCGTATTACACTTTTATAAAAACGGGTTTAAAATGAAAAGCGAGTCGAACTTTTAGAAACGGAGGGAGTATTTAAAAGAAATAATTACCTGAAAGGAGCAACGGCAGCAAGAAGGTTGCCGTCACGAAGATGAAGGTGCCAATCATCAGGGCGTGTTAGCGTTAATTCCATCTTATGCTGAAATAATTATGCAAAATTAATCAAACAAAAATTGATTTGAACTGTAATTTTAAACTAATTATGCGATTAATTGAAGTAATTAGAGTAATAATAAACTCTTAATTGGTGAAGGTGGGAGTTTGAAATTTGTAGGATGTGATTGGATCTTACGTTAGTAAAAGAGAGTGATGACTGATGATGAGTTGTTCATCAGTTGAGAATTGATTTTGAGAGGGTGAATTTGAGGAAGACGAGTCACGAGAGGGAGGGGTTTGAAATTAACCAAGGGTAGTTTTGTCTTTTCGTATTTTTTATGGAGAGTATTTTTAACTTTTTACGTAGTACAGAGTACGTACGCATTATGTATTTACTATTTTGAAGGTTTACTAGCTTTCGTCTATTTGAATCCAATATCTTGAACTTTAAAAAATATTTGGAGCAACTTGAACTTAGTTGTTAACTTGTCATACATTAACACCAATCAGTTCAGTTTAGTTCAGCACCAATCAGTTCCAGTTCAATTCAGCTCGTAATCTCCTTCTCTCATAAAATATTCAGTTCAGTTCAGTTCAGCTCATAATCTCCTTCTCTCATAAAATATTCAATTCAGCTCAGTTCAGTTCAGTTTACTTCAGCACCAATCAGTTCAGTTCAGCTCATAATCTCCTTCTCTCATAAAATATTCAATTCAGCTCAGTTCAGTTCAGTTTACTTCAGCACCAATCAGTTCAGTTTAGCTCATAATCTCCTTCTCTCATAAAATATTCAATTCAGCTCAGTTCAGTTTAGTTCAGTTCAGCTCCAATCAGTTTAGTTCAGCTCCAATCAGTTCAGTTTAGTTCAGTTTAACTCTTATCAGTTCAGGTCAGCTCAGTTCAGTACATGTGAATACTCCCTCCGTTTTTAAATATTTGCTCCATTTCTCCATGCGTGGAGTTTTATGAGAAATTGGAGAAATTAATAAAATATGAAGGTAGTGGGGTAGTTGAGAAAATAAAAAATTATAAAAAGCAAAAGTAGTGGAAGAATAAGAGGAGAGAGAGTATTTTGTTAGGTTCATTAAGTGTGAGAAATGAATTAAATATTGCAAAAGCTTTCCATAAAAGAAAATGGAGCAAGTATTTAAAAACGACCGGAAAAGAATAGTGGAGCAAGTATTTAAAAACGGAGAGAGTATGCCGTAAATAACAATAGATTTTACATTGATACCCTTTAAATTATATATATAATTCAAAAAAGAAAAAGCCAAACCCCAATTGGAAAAGCAGAGCAGCAAAGCAATAGTAGCAGTAAGCAGGGCACCACCGCATCAGGTGGTTGCGGCAGAGGAAGTAGCACAGCACCACAAAATGCGCAGGGTTGCGCTTTCTCCTTCTTCAATCTTCTTTCTAATCAGGCGTTTTTCTCTCAACCCTCTTTTTCCCAACTCCCCTTTTCTCCATACACCCTGGTACTCTCTCTCTCTCCTTTCACTCTTGCGCTTTCTTGTTGTTTATTAAACCTTTTCTTAATTAAATTACAAGTTTTATTAGCATTTGATTACACTAGTTACTTTAGTTCTCTCTGTTTGAGGGATTTTAATTTTGGGTTCTAATTTTGTTTTTATTTGCTTAAGGTTATTTGCTATGATGGGTTAATTTTTGTTATTGATATGATTTATGTTATCATTTCTTGTGATTGTATTGGGTACAATGGGATTAATGTTTACATGTAAATTGGGAAGGATTTTTTGGATTAAGATGAGATGCTTATTTAGGTGAAAATTTTATTGGAAATTTTGACTCCTGGGTTCTGAAGCTTGTGTTGCAGCATTTTAGTTATGTTTCACACAAATTACATACTCCCTGAAAGTAATGGTCACAAAGTATGAAAGTAATGGTCTTGTATTCTATTTTAAGATGTTTTGAGAAAGTTGTCATGGTTTATAAATTTGGGCTAATGATTTACTACCATTGTTTTGTTACTATGTGCTTCTGTCTAAATTATGTGGTGCAAAGAGCGTGCAAGTTTTATATTTTACTTCTAATGTAGTGAAACGTTTTCGATCCTTAATTATGAGGGATCGAGATAATGTGACACCAAAGGGTCATTGTTGTCTATGTTTGGAAAGTGATTTAGGGTCTTCTCTATTGTTGCTGTATTTATCACCGCTAAAAGGTTGTTACTTCAAACTATGAAATGTATCAGGAATTCAGGACGCTAATGTTGGGTGCGGTTTACTTTTTTAATATAACTCTCAAACCTATAATACACCATATGTTTTCTTTTTGTGGGTTTGGGATGTGTTGAACTTTATGTAGGTTGCTTTTGTGGCTATGCTAATGTCTCATTTTATACTAGCTTCCCTATAGTTCTACCCAAGGATTTCGCCCAAGATCCTCCTTTAGGGCCACTCCTTCGAGTTTCCTCTATTTCAGGCTACCGAGGCTTCCACAGTAGTCTGTTTTTGGACAGCGCTAGTACTGATGCAGATACCTTAAAGAAATCTGAGAGAAGCTCTACTTCACAGGATGCATCTACAAAGGTAAAGAGGAAAAAACTAAAGGGAAAGAGAGCAGTTGTAAGGTGGCTAAAGCACTTCAGGTGGAAGAAGAAGAAGGAGCATCAGAGGATGACTGCTGAAGAAAAGCTCTTATACAAGCTAAATAAGGTCAGCTGCTACATTCTTCCATTCTTTTCCTCCTTTCTGCTGTTCTGCATTTGAACATTTCAATGCTTGTTATTTCAATGTTTTATTACTTTAATACAAAAAGAATGAAAAGTGCTTAAACAGGAAGATGTTTCTGCGTCATGTGGCATTTACTAATCCCAATACAGGATGTTGGAATTTGCCTCTATCTTAAGAGTGATGTGCTTACAACTTTTGCATCTCATAATCTTATTCTTATACTGTTTTCTGTGCAATGTAACATCCTTTATAATGCGTGTGTATTGACTTCCAAGTATGGCATATTGCATTTTTTTTTTATATAATTCTGTTCTCTCATGACAAGCGTAGATTAAGAGAGGGAAGGACTGGGGATGGAAGGGTTTGACATGTGTATTTCTATTAAGGGTGAAGCAACTGCTTATTTTTGTTCTGTGCCGACTTCGTCTTTAAACATTATGCTTTCATCTAGCTGTTACAAGTTGGTTGTTAAATCTCAAAAGGGAAATTTGTCACTCGTAAGCTTGCTTGAGTATACAAATTAGCTTACAGTATTCTTTGTCCTTGCTCATGCTTTTTCACAGCCCCCCTTCCCCCTAAACAAAAATAATTGAGCTGTCTCTGACTTAGCTTCAGTGCAGGCTAGGAAAAAAGAAGAAAGACTTGTTGAGGCACTGAAGAAGTTAGAGCCAAAAGAGTGGTCAGAGGCAACTCATGATCCCGAGGTGTTGACGCCAGAAGAGCATTTTTACTTTTTGAAGATGGGCCTCAAGTGCAAGAACTATGTTCCTGTCGGTAGAAGAGGGATATACCAAGGTGTAATCCTCAACATGCATTTACATTGGAAGAAACACCAAACACTACAAGTAATTGTAAAGACATTCACTCCTCAAGAAGTTAAGGAGATAGCTACTGAATTAGCAAGATTGACTGGTGGAATCGTACTAGACATTCAAGAAGAGAACACGATAATCATGTACAGGGGAAAGAACTATTCACAACCTCCAGCAGAAATAATGTCACCACGTGTGACCCTTCCTAGGAAGAAGGTAATATATGTTATTGTAATGTTCTCATGTTTGATCATTTCATATCATGAATCAGGTTTTTGGCAAAAATAAAAATACTACGATATGTTTGTTATTTCTATTCCTGATGATAAAGATGGTGTTTTTTTTTTTTTTTTTTTTGTTTCTTTTTTTAGGGCTCCTTGGTTGTTTGTCTGCTTCTACATCAAGATAAATTTTTAGTTCATAATATCAGGCTGTAGAGTGTATAATAAAATTTCAATTTGCGTCGTATTATGCTAGCAAATTGTTGGTGGTGTCAAAGATTCAATGGGTACATTACATAGTGAAACTTTTATTCCTAGGAAAATTTAAAGTACGGATTATAACAATCAAAGCTGTGGGGTACCTCATAAAGATCAAACCAAAGCTCAGGATACTAGTGAAAATTTACACAAGCGGACAAGCCTGTCAAGCATCTCTTAGTAATCCTCATATATACTTCATTTATTCGTACATGACTTTTATGGCTTTTCATTGAACAGTTTGATGCAATACGTGATGTTTGCTTTCTTGAAGAACTTGGTATTGTGTTAAATTATTCTATTGCTCTACAATGACCTGTTGTGTCGAAATTCCTAATTATTCTATTGCTCTACAATGACCTGTTGTGTCGAAATTCCTTGAAAATCTTTAATTTTCATATCTTTACACCAGACTTTTAAAAATATTGAAATATTCTTCTTGAACATTGAGTTACTCTATAGCCTTATTTGACAAACTCAGAATCAGAAGTATAATTTTGTTGTAATGCTGCTGGGCATAATTTTATGGACAGATCAGGGAGAGTGCCTCTTAGCTCACTAATAGATGAATGTTTAATTCTTTATAGGCATTGGATAAATCTCAGTATAGAGATTCTTTGAGGGCTGTTAGAAAATATATTCCGAGGCTTGAGCAGGAACTTGAGCTGCTCCGCGCACAGGCTCAAAACAAAGAGAATCATGCTTCCGAGCTAGCTGAAAATCCTACAATTATATCATCTGATACGCATGATATTTCTTCTGCTCCCTTATCAAGCCTGGAGTCGCCCCCTTCAAACAAACTTAGAGAATTGATGGATCAATATGATAAAACTGTGGAGGATGATGATCCATTCACAGATGAAAGCGTGAACTCAGATTCAGAAGATTTATCTGACATTTTTGAGACAGATTCAGATAGTGCAGAAAATGTAGAGCAGCCTCTATACTTACATGAGTTCGATAAATTACCTGCCAAGATTACTGACACAGAAACATTTGCGAAAGATCTCCGTCAGATGTCAGTAGACTCAAAAAAGACTGAAATATCAAGTGAGAACGTTGACCTAGCTGATTTTGATGAGGTTGACCAGGTCTTTTTGCGAGCAGCTGAACTTTTGAAAAAGAAGAGACGATGAAGGTAAGACAATCAGATAACAAGGCTGTTGTGGAAATTCCCTTTTCTGCTGTATTGACACATGAAATCATTTTGATCTACATTTAGGGATATAGGTCATATAGCTATGCATGATGTGTGTCAGTGTGTGTATGAAGATGCCCAACAACGCAACATTAACTTGCTAATCCTCTGATTCTCTCAACATTTGATTAATTGGAAGCAGGCAATTTCTTGAACATATTTACATTTTTTTGTAATATAATACAGTAGTTGGTTTAAAAATCAAACCCCATATGTATTGATCAATTTTTCAAATAAATTGCTCCTCTTCCTTTCTGTATAGCTGTCTTGAGGAGTATTTAGTAAATTGAGATGTAATCTTTTCCCACTGAGCTTTTCGATCTCCTGCTTTTTTATTATTATGAAGGGCAAATGGAGGCCTCATTTATGGTAGATTGTTGCTGAAACTTTTTACTTTTTACTTGTCAAGTGCGTGTAGCACTAGATAGAAGTGGATGGAGGAAGGGGATCTTTGTGGATGACCACCAGAGATAAATTCTAGGTTCATGCAGTCGACCCCACCTTTTTGGGGATTAAACTTTGCTGTTCACTTGGTGGTTTTGATAGAGTATTTCATGAAGTTGCTTTTCTGTAAATTTGAATTTCTTAACCAATGGCTAGTGCTCTAACTCCTAATGCTTTGACACTTTCAGATTACAGAGTGGATGGCCATGATAATGTCAAAGTTGAGGAATTCTTTCAGCAAATCAAGGATTCTGTTTGTCCTTCAGTGCCATGGCCTTCAGTGAGGTGATGACTCGGTATGTCTGTGGGGCAAATGGTGAAGGTTTCTGCAGTTAGCGAAGATCTGAAGTTCCAAAAGGTTGGCCAGATCTGTTAACGTATAAACCTTTGGAGAAGTTCTTGTGCAGTAACTCTCAACAGCAATGTTGTACGAAGAAGCAATTTAATTGAGTTGGGCTGGGATCCATAATTTGATGAAGGTTGGACGGTATCCAAACCATGCTAATTATATCCGTGAGCACAGAACACCTTACCTATTTTTTAGAAGCTGAAAAAGTGTTACTCGGATAATGACGTACTTCTACTTCCGTCGTCATATTGCATGCTGGATTGGAAAACAAGGATGCGGTTGACTATAGATACGTAGATATTTGAGGATAACTGAGCTAATTTGGTTGAAATGTGCCTATTGTGTTAACATACATGATGTGGGGGAATACCGAAGATGCTACTGAAGTCATGGATCAGCAGGGGAAGACCTCAACAACCCTATTTTTTTTGCAATTTCCTCTGTGAACTGTACTTTTACAACCTTAATATTGGCGAATACTTCTGCTGAAGCTGGATTTGCAGAAAGTGTTCAACGTTTCAATCTGAAACAGGAATCCTGATATAATCGATGAACATAAACAGTCATGTTAGTTAAGAGGTTTTACTTAAAAGACTACCCGCGGTCTTGAGAAGAGCATAGATGGATGAATCCTCCATCTCTAGTGGTATTGAGAATTTGAGATGTAGCTTATTAGCCTGCCTAATGACAGTTTTTGACTTCTGATAACAAACATCAGACTTGTTTCGGAATAATATTTTGAAAAATTCTCTTGAAGTTGTAATATGTGTATCTTTGATGGAAAAATAAATCTCACAATCAGTTAGGTTAATCCACACTACCAAAATTAGAGTTGACTTAGTGAAAATGAGTTAATTTGTAAAATTCAGTTTCAATAAACACAATTTTTAATGAGCACAATATTTTTCATTCCAATACAAATGAGGTAAAAACAATGGAACTTTCAAAGTGACATTATTTTACACCTATCAATCTAAGGTCTCTTCAACCAATGAGGTCTTGACTTAGTGGTTAAGATTGATGATTAGTCGTATGTGGTCTAAAACTTTAAACCCCCAACCTTGAGCCGAAAATAACACCTTGTTTTAATACCCATGCCATTTAAATTGTCATGATTTACTTTGTATGTAATACACGTAATAAACTAATAATCATATGAGATCTTATTGGCTCGGATCGCAAAGTCCGAACTGGAACTACTCTAGCAAGTTAGCAGCAGGCCAGCAATAGTCACACCGTGCAGCATCAACCCACGCCATGGCAGCTCGCTCTCTCCTCCTCCATCTCAGACGGTAGTTCTTTCTCTTTCTCTCTCATCTTCCATTTTCAACATTTAGCTCAATTTCTCAAACATTTCTCTCAATTTTGCAGAAAAATCATCACAATTACAAATAGCAGTAACACCAAAATCAATGCGAAATTTCTGAGTTCCAATTCAACTTCCGACGCTTTATCAACCGAAACCCTAGAATTCGAAGATTATTCTCAACAAATTTCCGACGATTTGAAGAGTCGGATCTTCCGTCTTCGACTTCCTAAACGAAGCGCCACTAATATTATTCAGAAATGGATCAATGAGGGTAATTCTGTTACTCTCCCTCAACTCCGTCAAATTTCGAGAGACCTTCGTAAATCTAATCGCTATAAGCACGCTCTTGAGGTATTTTTCCTATATTTTTGTTGAATTTTTGGTCTATTCAGCTTATCATATATATGTATAATTAGATTTATGGCATTGAATCATAAAGAACTAGAATTTCAAGCTATTTTGTAAGTAGTATAATTAGGTAAATGAAGGGAAAACATCTAAGTGAATTGCACCCAATGATATAGATTATAGACTAGTCACCTTTTGGAGTTGGTTAATGGATTGGGTTAGGATAGCTAGATTTCATATTATATAGTGTGTTTGGGTGAAGGGGTACCAATTTAGTTGATTAGTTTGCTGGAACATAGAGCCTTCTATTATGGGGATATTGAATTAGACTATTATGTCATTGGGTCTGTAAGATGAGTTATGCAAGAATTGATTTAGCTCTAAACTTTTTGGAATCTTGGTGTCTCGTTTCGTCTTTATACGTAGTATATTACTTCATATGACGATAATGGTTGATTACAGAAAAGTTGTGGTGTTGCAAGTGGTAGTCTCTGATGTTGAGGGAATTCGCCAATGTCTATTGTAGAGACAGCAGACTAAAGAAGGCAAGAGAGTTAATTGCTTCCGAGTCATTATGGATACTAAAAAAGTATTAGTCTTGATTCTGAAACCAAATGAAATTATATTAGATTTTTGAATATGGCTGTGATTCAGGTTCCAACAAGGAGAGGTTCTACTATGATGTCCATGTGTGGTCTGTGTGTTAGATGGTGTGCGTGTTTTGTATTGCTGTCAATTTTGTAACCTTGCTGAAATGAGGGATATGTTAGAATATTTATGAGTCTTGTGAGATTTGAAGCTTCATGGTGTTTCTGGCTTTCTGCTGTGAATAATAAATACTCTGAATATCACTTCTTTATTTGGGGAAATAGTTTCAGGGGAGTACTGAGTAGAAACATAAGCTGCTTAATTTTGGCACAGAAGTTGAAGTATACACTCGTATGCTTTATGATTTTAAGCTTGTACTACTTAAAGATGGCCATATGATTGTGTTGTTTGATTTAGGCATCAGCAGCTTCAACTATTTTTGTAAAATTTACAGAATAAACCTGGTTTGAAGACTTGAAGTTTTTGAGTTTCTTGACCCTGTCTTTGTTATCATACAATGTAAGTATTTTTATTAAAATATAAAAGTTCCCAGTAAGCTGGTTTAAGAATACAACTGTCTCAGGGATAAAGAAACCAGAAATCACCCATAATTTCCATTGGATAGTGCCTTTTTATTGGGGAAAATATCTTAAAACCTGCTAATGGATGACTGGATGTACTGCTGCTGTGGAATGTGCCAAATTCACATTTCTGTCCTGACTTTAGTATCAAAACATGTTGTAGCTCTTTCTTTGGACGTACTCAACTTTATAATTGTCTCCCAGCTTTTATTTTATTTATTTTGGGAAGAATATTAATGATGGCAAATGCCTTGCAGTTATGCTTAGATATTTGAGTCAGAGAGCCTATATGTCTGCACTGTACCATCTTATTGACTTGGAGTGGTATAAAGGCTTCTTTTATTAGACTTCCATGAAGCACTATCTAGAATGGGTTATTATTGATAGTAATTTTAGGATATCAAGAATGGTTATATAACTGAGATGAGCAAGGTAGATAGGCCTCATACAGTGATACCGAAGAAATCAGAAGAGTTGACCTTTAACTTGTGTGAGCTATTTTAAAATGACTTATGGCAATTTCCCTTGACTACGTCTGATGAGAATAGGTCTAGAAATTATTGTTTTAAGATGGAAGAAAGAGAATTTATGGTTGATTCTGCCATTGTGGTCTAGTGTGTGGTCATCAGGGCAACACGTAAGAAGTTGTAAGAATGATGTTATATGAGTACTTGTTTCGTTATGGCTACTATGAAAATAAGTAGTCCCAAGATGCGAACTAGCTTCTTCTTCTTCTTTCTTCTTCTTTTTTTTTTTTTTTTTTTTTTGTAGGAATTCTGTGCTGCAAAGATGTTAGTTAATTCTGAATTTTAGTATTGCTATATTTGCTAACCATCTGCTCCTAATACTCATACTTCTCTGTGAATGGCATTTTGTGTTATAATTTTTCACAGTTAACTGTTATAATGTGTTATGTCCTTTTCTTTATATATCGCACGATTCCTTATGACGATTCATGTTAGCCGACTTCTTGTTGTTGTAACTGTTGTCACAAATGAGTGAAAAAAGTTCATGGCCAATATTATTAGGCATATAAGAGAGGGCCAAAGATCCCAATCTGTTTTCATACCCCCCATGTATACTGTGCCAAATCTTCCTGTTAAAATACAGTGGCTAGTCTTCAATTATGCTGTGAAATATCCAATGATTGTCATTGTTTCCGTTGCCTTAATGTTGGCTTCATTTTATGGTAGAGAGCACACTTTACTTTCTTTTTGCTTCACGTTCTTCTGTTTTTATGTTGCTAATTGAGATTGTTCTGACCTTTTCTGACTAATATACATGGTAGTATTATTTTACTTAAGTGCTTTGTGATGCTCGAGCTAATGGTCAGTTAACTAATGATTTGTTACCATACAGATAACAGAATGGATGGTTTCTCATAATGAATTCAAGTTATCTGATTCTGACTATGCTGTTCGCCTTGATTTGATGACAAAAGTTTTTGGAGTTGATGCTGCTGAAAGATATTTTGAAGGTCTTCCACATGATGCTAAAACAAATGAAACATACACAGCTCTACTCCACTGCTATGCATGTGCTAAATTAACTGATAAAGCCGAGGAGCTTTTTCAGCGTATGATGGAGTCAGGTCTATCCTTCCATGCCATTACCTACAATGAGATGATGACTTTGTACATGTCTGTGGGTCAAATGGAGAAGGTTTCTTCAGTTATTGAAGAGCTGAAACGCCATAAGGTGGCACCAGATCTCTTTACTTATAACCTTTGGATAAGCTCTTGTGCTGCAACTCTCGACATTGATGGTGTCAGAAGCGTTCTATCTGAGATGAGCCAAGATCCTCACTCTGATGATGGTTGGGTGACGTACCGAAACCTTACTAACATATATATTACAACGGGCCAACTTTCCAGCTCTGGGGGTAGCTCTCTTGTAGAAGCTGAAAAGATTGTTACTCAGAGAGAATGGATTACCTATGATTTCCTCATCTTACTTCATGCTGGCTTTGGAAACAAGGATATGATTGACCAGATATGGAAATCCTTAAGAATGACTAAGCAAAAAATGATTGGTCGCAATTATGTGCCCATCTTGTCTTCATATTTGATGCTAGGCCATATTGAAGAAGTAGAAGAAATAATAGATCAATGGAAGAACTCCACTTCAGTTTTTGATAGATCCCTCTGTGATAGATTGGCGAATGCTTTTGTAGAAGCTGGATTTATAGAAAGAGCTGAAACTTTCCGTTCCCTTTTGAATGAGAAAGATGATGCTATCAGTGAATCGGAATAGGCACAAAGTAGCTATGGTGGGTGAAAAGTAGGCAGATGAGTCCTGCTACTCAGGTGTGGCGTTTTTGAAGCCCGCCTGATGACAGTTTTGATAAAAGCCAGCAGATAAATTAATTTTTTTTTGAAAGAATCTCCCTTCAATGTATTTGTCATCGATCATGTACTACTCTTGTTTCGAATCTTCCATCTTTGGTAAATGAAACTATTTATCATTATTGGCTAGTAATAATGAGCAAAAATTGTATGAGTACAACGACGATCATGCTTTGCTCTATCATACTGTCGTATTGTGATTTTATGTGTAAGAAAGTGTTGTTGGTCATATGAGGTTTTGTCTTTCAAAAAATAAAAATATGAGGTCTTGTATTAATCTTTGGTATATATATTTACAATATAACTGTTTATCATTTTTATCTCTATTATACAAGTGAGGGCTTTGGTAGTTTGGTCATTTGGTGTCCACCTAAATATACAATAATACCTTTTATAGCTCAATGTTAATGTTGGAAAAAAAAAAAAAAAAAAACAATTGCCTTGAATGGAACGATAAATAATTGAAGGTGATAATTACAATTAAAATGAAAAGTAATCATTGGCAAATCAATCATAATTGACAAGTTAAAATTGACATTAGTTCTTCAAATAATTGTCACCAACTTAAGGAATAATAAATTATGGCACTATTATGACAATTAAGAAGATTTTATCAATGATTATTTCAGCTTTGTGAATAGATATGAATAATTATATTACTAAAATTATGAATACACAAACTTTCCCCTTTATATTATTGCTATTATTATTTTTATTTACCGATTCGTTTTACACAATCTTCCATCTCATCCCTCATTCATTGAAAGTGCAACATTATATGCATTGAATCAAATTTCCTAAAGCATACACACAAATTTAATATTTTCCATAATTGAAGCTATTTAATTTTTTTAAAAAAAAAACTTTTCACGCGCTATATAACACACATTCATCATTAAATTTCCTGCCAACTACAAATCTACAATTACACCTTACCAATTTAATCCTAATGTATAAGTGTATAACAACTCCGCACATAATGAATTTGCCTCAAATTATCATTACAATTTAGAACTCACTTTTTTAAAACACGAAAAATATTCTAAAAACATTTCATTATCTAAAACCAGTCATATGCAAAGTCATAATATGTCAACCGTCCACTCATTAAATTGTATGCTAATCAAATCCACTAATGGGAAAATCCGATTTGATACAACTCAATCCAATTTGATACTCAACTCAATCTGATTTGATATAATTCAATCCCTTATATTTAGCCCTAATCTTCTCCTTGAGAAGAAATTCTTACAAAGCAAATGAAAAATTAAACGTTAAGCCCCACCATAGAAATACGCAAATGTTCCATCTCACGGGCTCCTCGAAGTCCCACAAATTTCCATACTAAAGAAGACTACTGTACTCACTGAATACAGTATTCCCAGTAATTATTAGCACCTCTCATACTCCTTTTTCTCACTCTTTTCTTCTCTTCTACACTCTTCATTTCACTTACCTTTCTTTTCACTCTTCTTCTATCAAAGGTATTCTCTTTCCTGCTTTTCTTTTCTTTTTGATTTTTGGTTCATTTGATTGATTGATCTTTGATGTTATAATCTTGTTTTTGTTTCTGGGTTTGTTGATTTTGTTGTTGTTTGGTTGTATAGGTTTGTGGAAGAATTACTGAGTTGGTGATCTGAAATGGGTGTTACTAAGAGAATTAAAAAGTTATCTGATTTTCAAGGTAGGCTAATACCCTTTTGTTTTCAATTTAACTTCTTTTTTTGTGGGATTTATTGCTGATTTATTATGGTAGTTTAGTATTTTGATTTGGGTCTTTTTTTCACCCTGGGTTTTCTTCAGAATTTGATCAACAATGGAGGGTTTTGATGCGTTGGCTTTGGGTTGGTGGCGGGTTCTTGCTCCAATGATAAAGAAAGAATTTGGTTTCTGAACTTTTGCTTTTCAGAAAATTATGTCCATTATATTGATGAATTAGTTATAGCATTAGTTTGATTTAATTTGTAGTTTGATGTAATTTGCTAATTGTTATTAGTGCAACAATGCAATGGTAAGTTGAGTAGTGATTACTGATTAGTTAGAGTGAGTGTAGGGAGTAATTGACAATGTGGACTGATGAATGATTTTTAGTAATTTAGGATTTAGATGAAGTCGCCGAGTAAGAAAAGGAAGGGAGTTGAGGAGCTATTGAATGGTGGGAGATATACTTCGTCAATAGCATATTATAGGTCTCATGTATCGTTGGAAGATTACTCTAGGCTAAGAAAAAGGGGAAAGGAAGATGTAGTTAGAGATGATTGTAGATTGTCCGAGAGTAGAGTGAGTGGTGTCGTTACTGCTCCACCTTACGGTAGCTTGCCTTCTGGGTCACCTACGAGAGGTATTAAAAGGAAAATAGGTTGTATAGATGCAGCTACCAGAACAGGAAGGAAGAAAAAGATTGAGCAGGATTATTATTTGGGTGCTACGATTGGGAAAGGGAAATTCGGGTCTGTGAGAATGTGCTGGAGCAAAGCAAGTGGTGAGGTGTTTGCGTGTAAAACTTTAGCCAAAGGGGAAGAACCTGTGCATCGAGAGGTGGAGATTATGCAACATTTGTCTGGACATGTGGGCATTGTAACACTCAAGGCAGTGTATGAGGATGTTGAATCTTTCTATCTTGTGATGGAATTTTGCCCTGGTGGGAGATTGCTTGACCAAATGGCAAGGGAAAGGCAATATTGTGAGCAGCAGGCCGCTAACATACTAAGAGAACTTGTTATGGTCATCAAGTACTGTCATGATATGGGTGTTGTTCATCGTGATATAAAGCCAGAGAATGTTCTTCTTACATCCTCAGGGGGCTTGAAGCTTGCAGATTTTGGCCTGGCAGTTAGGATTGTTAATGGTAAGTGGGCTCCTAAATTATTATGCTTGATGCTGCATTTAAGAGCTTTACATGTTAGGTCTTCTTCATTGCAATTTCTGCTCATCAATTTATAAGCATCACTTTCGATTCGTATGATTTGTGCTTTTAAATACTTTGTATATTTTATGTAAATTTCTATAAAGGTATGAAGTCTGAGGTCATATTGTTGTGAACTCGAAGAAGTGGCAATCCTGGATTTTGTTCGTGTCATGTATGTCTTTGTTGATGTGGTATGTTTGTCAATTATCTGCTGTTCACATGATCACATCTCTCTCCAATCAACAGACATACACTAGGGGGGAATGGGGATAGCGACTAGATAGAGAGAGGAGAGAAAAAAATGCAATATATAATTTTTTTTACTCTTTGATGTCTCCTTTCAGGTCAGAGCTTGTCTGGTGTGGTTGGAACTCCAGCTTATGTTGCTCCTGAAATTTTGGCGGGTGAATATTCAGAAAAGGTGGATATCTGGAGTGCTGGGGTGCTTCTTCATGCACTTTTGATTGGTGTTTTACCCTTTCAAGGAAGCTCTTTAGAAGCTTGTTTTGAGTCCATCAAGAGTGTAGATCTTAATTTTGATAGTGGCTTATGGATAACAGTTTCACAGCCTGCTAAGGATTTAATTGCTCGTATGCTAACAAGAGATGTTTCAACAAGACTATCTGCCAATGAAGTACTAAGTAAGTTCCAGTCTTTCTTATTGGTCTTCCACTGCAAAGTCTAGCACCCTCTTCTGCTTGTTTCATATGTTTTAGATTGACAATAGTCACATATATTTGATGTGAAAAAATGACAAATGAAATTGGAGGATCTTATGTTTAGAGTTACGGTGGATTTCTCTTTTTTCTTTCTTGTTCAATTTGTAGATTTGATGGCAGGTCCATTCGAGTACATATACATATAGCAGAGTTATCAGTGGTAAAGAAAAAAAAAAAGGGACCCTTGAAAGATAATATTTTCTTAGTATTATCCTCAAGTATTTGTAATCCTTCCCCTCACCTTGATCATCTGATCTTTAATGAGTTTCTGTTTCTATTTCTGTTCCTATTTTATATTTGTTTCTCTGCCACGTAGGATAAGACCGAATTTTATGTTTCCATATCATTTCCCATTTTCATATCTGCTTATGTGCTACATAAATTGTGACCGAATCCTATGTTTCCATTTCTAATTCATATTTATGAGTTGTTTGAGTGGGACTCGGGAGGGGAGGTTTTTGAGAGCAAGCCGTCAACAGAGGCAGTTAGCACCTCCTTGTTTAGTATCGAATCACTATATCTATATTTATGAGTGTTTAGACTATCATTGTAGTTGGTTAGACTGATAGTTTAAGCTTGTAAAATCAAGTTAACTAGCTACGGAGCATGTTTGCAGTGGAGATGGTGACAGTCTATGAGAGGTGAACTGGAGGCAGCTAAACTTTTTGCAGATTTAAAGCTGAGTTAGTTGTGATGTACATACGAATCTAGGGTATTGGGCCTATTGGCTAGTTGGGAGGATGGTAAATCTATCTATGATGCTAAAGTTGTTTTCACTCTTGGAATTTATGCATGCTTGGTCATTTTTGGTTGCCGGTGTAGAAGAATTGATGATGTTGGTGCTGTAGCAAATGAGATATATTTGGGGTTGATATTAATTGTGCTTCTCATTGTTTAGTTGTGTATGCTTGTTAACTAGAATAATGAAGATTGCAACCATTATGGTTGCTGCGAGTCAAGTAATTCAACTTTAGAGTGTTTCTTTTGATAGTGAGATTGCACAAGTCAATAAGATTTAGCACATTTTCTTATTTTGCAGAAAGTTAAGAAATGAGGAAAAAAGTTGTTTGTTAAGGCTTGCTTGGAATGCGATTAATCATGATGGGCAGAAGGGAGGTAATAAAGAGGCTAAGAATGGGTGGAGGTGGTTAGTAATTTTGGTGAAAAAGAGAGAGGAAGAGAAGATAATAGATTACCCCCAATTCAGGGTTTTTAAGTACACCCCTGCTTCTGGGGCCTAGGTATAAGAATTACCCTCAAAATAAGGGTAATAATCTCCCATCACGGCCTCTTCCTTCAAGCATTACTACCCCCACTCGATTACTTATCACTTCTTATTGCCTGTCCTAGAGGAAACATCTTTACTCCTCAACAACACCCCCCCCCCACCCCACCACCTCCTCTCTCACCCCAGCTCGTAATGTTAGTTAGAGTAAAATCCATTAACTGCTGGTCATGTTTTGATTGATTATTTCCATCTCTTTTATCTTCAGCTATTTGTGCTATTTGGCAATATAAGTGTGATGGTACGAAAAGCCATTATCAACTTAATTGGTGAATTTGCTTGTGTGTGCTCATGTTATGGTGCTCTAATACAATGTTCTATTTGTGACAGAACATCCATGGCTTTTGTTCTATGCTGATCCACCTTTGAAGACACTGACCCTTAAGTTAACACCGAGCAAAAGTAGGAGAATGACTGCACGTGACGTGACTGTAAAAAAAAGGAATGAATCAGAAAATAAACAGGACAAGCCAGCTTATTCACACAGAGTTGACTCAGACAATGACTCGTCGACAAGCAGGTCGACTAGTTCTTCGTTCAAGTTGGAAGAGGACAGTGGATTAGTGGATGCTCTTGCAGTTGCAGTTTCCTGCATGAACATAACTGAAACTAAGAGGATTAGGTTATGCAACCCACCGACTATTTCTATTTCACATGAGTGTTCATCTAATATAAAAACTAATCTCTGTACAGCTTTCTGATTATTTCTAAAGTGTTGATAAACAGTTTTAAGCTACTGGGGTTAACTTAAGGTAATGTTAGCCACCTCATAGCTTAAATCAGAACTTAGGACTACCCTTATGGTATTAATCTTACCTGTTAATGCTTGTATTATTCGATAAGCGGGTTTTGACTCTTCTGTAATGTGTGCATATTTTCGTGCCAGTATGTGACTAGCTGAAGGACAGTTACCAATAGGATGTTATAATGTAACTTTAAAGTTAATATTACATGACTGTTTTTCCTTGGGTGCATCTTTTTACTCTTTTGTGCATTATATTCCCTTTTCCATATGCTGTCATTTTCGCAGCTGTTGTTTATATCCTGAGAAAGATTGAAGGATAGAACTTTAGAAAAATGAAACAATGTCTGCTTATGTAGTTTGAGTGCTTGGTCATCTTTACTGCTGTTTCTGGAAACAGAATGCTCCTGGGAGTCTTAGGGTAATAAAGGTAATCAAGATGTCCTAGAACTATGTCCAATATGTGTCCGAATTTCCCTCAGCTACGCCTTGCTGTCCGAGAGCTAGGCCTGCAAAAGAAAGAAGGTTAACTACCCCGGGGGTGTGACCCCGGGAAAGCCCCTCCGATGCTTAAGTCGGCGAACGTACTTTCTAGTGAGAGAAAGTAGAGAGAGAAAGAGCACTTTAGAGAGATAAAGTAGAGAGAGAAGATTAGAGAATTAGGAAAAAGTTACCATCATCAATGATTGGAGAGCTATTTATAGATGTACTTTCAGGTGGCAGAAGTTGTACTTAATTGGACAGATTAGGGGTAAATTTGTACTTTGCTCTGACTAATGATGGGCTGGATCATGGAGGGGTATTTTCGTAATTCCAGGTCACTGAGCTTAGGACAATGGACTAGGCCCAAACATTTAGCCCCACGCGTGATGTGGGAACGAGATCGCATGAAGTTCGGATATCACGCGGAATAGAGATGAGAGAAGTTGTAACATATGCTGAAGTAAATCCCGAGGTGTACCTGAGGGCTAAGATGAGCCCCGGGGGTTTCTGAGGGCTAAAAAGAGCCCTAAGCGACTTGCAAGGGTGAAAACCAGCCCCAAGCAATGCATAGAAGGTACTTTAATTCAGATGATTGAGCAGTTTTGAGAACTAAGCCTGATGATGGCTTGGGAGTAACTGATGAAATTTCCATTTGTGGAATATTTTTTTTTCAGGCCGAGCCTCAGGTATTTTGCTGAAGGCATGTCTTGTTTTCAATTTTGACTGAGCTAGAGACAATCTGATGATGATTCCCTTCTAATTAAGCTGGTAATCAAGCTTAATCCTTCAATGGTGACCTTCTGGGCTCAAGGATCACTTAGGCCCATTTGAACCAGGGTTTTGAGGAGTTGCTCTCTCCTTAGCTTGAACATATGAATTCCCACTATACTTGCACTTGCTTTTCACTCTTTTCATTTTCCTTAGAGAATTTTCAAAGAATTCCCCAAATTTTTCTCCCAAGTTCTTGAGAGTTTGAGTGTTCAGGTCACATCATTCAAGTTCATATCATAAAGTTCTTCCAAGTTCATCAAGATCTTCAAGAGGTATGTGAGAATTTTCACTTTTTGATTTATTTCTATAGATCCGAAAGCATGCCTAGGCGTTTTTGTACTTGGAATCTCTAAAATTTTGAATTTTGAACTGTCTTAACCTCGGGGTAGAATGGCTATGACCAGCCGAATTTAGGGATTTTTGCGGGTAATTTTCGAGTTTCTGAGGTTTGTGTAGTAATTTTCGAAATTTGGCTATGGGTGAGGGTGGTTATGGATTTCGGCCAGGAAGGTAATTGAATTTCATGATATTTTTTTTTTTTTAAAATAGTTTCGGGTATGCTGAGGTGAGGAGTGATGAGGGGGCCGAGGGATGTAGAGCAGGCCGAGAGAGGTTCTCACCTAGCCGAGGGAGTATGTCGCACAGCCGAGGGGGGTGCTGTGCGACTGAGGGGTGTTGTGCAACAAGTCGAAAGGGTCAACGGCGCACCAGCCGAGAGGGTCAGCGGCGTGCTGAGGGGGTATTAGGCGCCTAGGTGAAGAGAGATAGGGAAAGCCGAAAGAGCTATCCCTCAGGCTGAGGGGTTTCCCTTTTGTATATAGCTGATGAAAATAAGAGATGTGAGGACCGAGAGAGTAGGGGAAAACCGAGAGCTTTGTGAGCAGATCGGAGGGGTTTGACGCGGAGGTGAGAGGTCGAAAGCCTCGACCTTGCCCAGGCCGAGGGATGTGCCGATGTCCGAGGGGGTAGGCTTTGCGTGCTGAAGGGGTGAGTGTACGCTGGGCTCTCGGCCTAGCTGGGGGATGCCTAGCCGAGAGAGATGCGGGCTGATGCGAGAGTACCCGGGAGAAAGACAAAGGCGAGAGAGAGAGAAATATGCGGGAGAGAGAGAGTGATGCGAGAGAGCTGGGCTCGGTGCCGAGAGGAGTGTTGCGCACGGGCCGAGGGCCTTTGTGTGCGAGCCGAGGGGGTGAGGCTGAGAGATGGGAGTGAGACGCGGGAGAGAAAGTTGAGGCGGGGCGAGAGATGAGAAGGATGAGAAGAGAAAAAGCCGAGGGATGTGAGCTGCAGGCCGAGGGATCCGAAGGGGGGGATTCAGTGCAAGGCCGAGAGCTGTGAGTGCTTTTTTCGGGTTTATGCTCAAGTGATAACCCGGGGTGTGTAGAGTGAATGAAGAGCCGAGAGAGCGAGCAGCTGAGGGGATGACTGGTGCGCCGAAGGGGTATGCGGCGCATTAGACTGGCAATTCCGCGGGATTTAACATAGAATTTTTTGGGTTAAATTGGGAGTGGGAGCCAAAATTAGGCTGAGAGCTAGGATGTGAGATGCCAAGAGGATAGCTGGCGCGCCTATAGCTCATAGACTGAGGGGGTAAGAGAGATGGCCGAGAGGGTTAGCACCAGCCGAGGGATGTTGTTGTGCGGCCGAGGGCTTGCCTTGCGGAGCGCAACTCTCAGACTTTAGCAATTTATTTAAGTGATGAGTGATGTTTGATAGAAAGTCTAGGAGAGAGGATAGATGAAATATGAGGTGACTTCACCTAAGTAATGAGGGGTGATTTTACTTAGAAAAATTCTTTGAGAGTTTTGAGATTTTCAAAGCACTTTGATCGTGCTCTTCACCTGGGCTTGTCTATGAATGTTTTTCTAACACTTGAAATTTTTGTTGTTATTGCAGGAGTATTTCTCTTCGGGGTACACTTGAATTTGTCTCGAGAAATCCTTTCGGCCTCTCTGACTAGTTGGTGAGCCTTCAATACTTGGTCTTTATTCCCTAAGTATCATGTCTCCATGCTTAGTAATTGTTTGCTACTTTTTCCTTGTATGCTTGTTTGTTCCTCGGCTGCGCTTTTGATGATGTTAGGCTTAGAGGTACGCTTGTTGTATTTTTGTATGTACATTGAGAATCCCTCGGGGTAGTCTTGAGTTGAGCTATGCATGTATCATGAATGACCAAGCGACTCAAGATTACCTTGACTCTCTCCCCGGCCCTTCATCTTATGATTTGTTTAAGGAAACCTGGGCAGGGGAAGTGCTTGTAACAAACGTAATTGGTAGTAGTGTTGATTCTTCTGTTCCCTTGGGTGTGCCTTATCCATGTGTGTCATCCCCACCCCCCGAGCATGATTTAGGCTTTGATTATTTTTTGCCTCCTTCCCCTTGGGAAGTTTCTCTTTCACGTGAACCGACTTCTAGAGGTTCTTTGAACAGATTGATTGTTGACGGAGTGGTGACAATGTCAAGTGAGGATGATACTTCGGCTTCACTTGGGGCGCCGGTGGCCTTTAAACCCCCTGTTAGGAGAGTTAGCCCTTCTATGTGTTATCCCTCCACTTCTTGGCTTAGGTCTTTGTCTGAGGGTACTAGGCATTTGCAGACTAAGTACCACATTAGGGAGCCTTTTCTCATTTCCCCTCCTGGGGGTGATAGCACTGTAGATAACCCTCCCCCGGGGTGTATAGCTGTATATAGGCAATGCTTGGACAATGGATTGAGATTTCCGCTACACCCTTTCATTGAGGAGTTGTTGATCGAGTATAACCTTAGCATAACTCAGCTTGTCCCTAACTCCTGGTTGACAATCAACGCATACATAGCCACTTGTAGTTTGCTTGGAGCCCCTTGTACCATAACTTCCTTTAGGAACACACATAGGATTCAGGAGGTCCCGGGTAATGTAGATAGCCATGGGTGGTATGTTTTTCATGATAGGGAGTTCTATCTCACCATAAACACCAAACCCACGAGTCAAAAGGGCTTTCGCCATACCTTTCTCTTCGTCTACCATGCTGGGGGTTGGAGGGTTCCCCGAGACCATAGCGGAATACCTCGGGTTGGCTTGAACTACAATGTCCCTGCCATGGAGGTTGATGAGGCCGTGACGGCTGTTTGGTTGCAATCTTATAAGGAGAGAGGGTCCAAAGAGAAGCTTCCCACCATGTGGATTTTGAAGGATAAACACTTCCAGAAAGAGCGATTTTTGAGTATGGTGGGCTTGAGCCACACCTATGATGGTGGTAGGGTTTATTTTTGTTTTACTTATGTTTTTTCCACTTCCATGCTTTCTCCTGGGCCTTGTTGTTCACTAACATATTTATGCAAATGATGATTTCAGGGGTTGCTTTCAAGCAGTTGGCAAAGAGATTTCAGAAGAAAATGTCTGAAGTGAATTTTCGAGCTGCGAAGGTCAAGTCTTCCATGAGGAAGGGGGATATGAGCGTTCCTCCCCCTCCCCAGGTATGCCTCCTTCTCAGGAGTTGGCTTTACAAAATGTTGCTTTCTTGCTAACTTTACTTGTGATTTGTTCTTTCAGAACCCGAAGAATTCCAAGCTGAGGAGGAAAACAGCTGGGAGGGGAGAAGGATCCTCCCAAGCTACCTCCAACATGGAGATAGATGATTTGGGGTCCCAGCTTGTCTCCCCGACCGGCTCCGCTCACATCGAGCTCCTAAAGGCCGAGAGCTTTGGAGATCGAGGAAAGAAGCCTCGGGAAGAGGAGGGCGAGGAGGAAGGGGGGGAAAACTATGAGGACATGACCCCTTACTTCCCTGACTCTCTCCTCGGCATCACAAAAAAGGGGCGAAAGAAAACCGTGAGGCAAGCCATGGCCCGGTTTCCTTCGGCTAAGGACATCGAGGTAGTAGAGAAGGATCCCACCAAGGCTATCTCTTCGGCGTTCGATGGCATCTTGAAGGTATAGTTTGCTATATAACATCGAATTTTCTATCTTTACTTTAGTTGCCACTAATACTCATCTTATTGATTTTT